TTAAGTTAGGGCTCAAATACCATTTCCGACAGTATGTAAATGCACTGTAGCGAAATAATAATTACTTGTAACGGTATAATTACATATACGTAAATATTTACCTCCAAAAGCATCTCATCTCTTTATTATTTCCTAATACACTGATAAAATTTAAAAAAATAGTACCTTCGGCAATGCTGTCATCCAATTCGTTGCACATATACAGTAGTTGAGACGATTTTTTTTGTATCCATTTTGAAACCGGATGGTGAAACTATCCACTCGTTTATATAACTAGAAACTAGTTTCACTTTGAAACCATGTATCCGAACCTAGACACTGGTTTATAACAGGAGAAACCAGTTTCATAAACCAAAACCAGTTTCGCAATAATCGATTAGGCCCTAAATAGACGTAACAATCCACTGATTACAAAGGGAACATTGTGACATTGCAAATCCCAAACACCCGATTCCTCGGGAATGGGTATTTCCTTCAACGTTGTGACAGGCGCTATGGTTGATGATTCAGAATCAAGGGCGTAGCCAGTAGGTAGCAGCGGAGCTTTATTATTGGCTGTCGTGACTTTCAACTGTAACACAAATCTCTTTGTAGACACACTCGTGCCCTGAGTGGAGACGTGTTACGAACACTGTGACAGTGTGCATGGTAAGTTACTCAATTCATATTTACGTGGTTCGACGTGGTCAGCTCTTCCCGCGCCGTATGTTCACTATTAGACACCGTTATACGTGTTGTTATTTATTACTTATTTTTACTATACTATGGAGATATATTTCTTTTTGATAACCCGTATAACGAAAGTAAACATATGACTGCAATTTATTTACAAAGGATATTTACATTATCTGAGAGCGGTTTCATCAACGATACAATATTTGAGTTAAGGCTTTTATCGTAGTTAACAATGTAACGGCTACATCGCAAAGGCATTTGAATATTTGAATCTAAGTCAGACAAACCAATGGTGATAGCTTGAACAAAGATCTGCACCTAAAACTTGATCAGATCTGTTCGTCCCTCTTGTACTCAGTTCTGACGAAAGTAAGGAGTATAAGGACCAATTGTGCCCTACAATCTGCAAATAGGTCTGGATGTGACTACAACCGGTCTCAACAAAGAGGTTGTCAGCCCCTTCCACACGGAATGTTCATCATCAGACATCGTTATACGTGTTGTCTATTGGTACTAGATTATTCAGATAAGGATTGTGGTTTTGTCTCTTTTCAGATACAGAATATATCACACTTCATATCCTGAAATGACGACCCAAAGTCAAGCTGACCAAAGTAGGTAACACTACTCAAAATCGTCACTCTCTTTCGATAATTAGTAAACAAATAGTGGGACTAAGACCCACTAAAGTCAGATTGATCTATTTTAAACCAGTTATGAAATTATGTTTGAGTGACTGTATTCAGATGGTGGTTTAAATAACGATTAGGTTTTGTCCACTCAAATACACAAAATGTGTGAGTACCTTCACCTGCACTAAGGTATACCCTTGTTCGTGTGACAGATACAGTGTTAGCAATGTGACGGGCTCTTGGACCTGTACCGTAGTTCCCCTAGCAATCACAAGAAGATGTCCTTCTTTTCATTCACACTTGCTATTGCTGGTCCAGCCCACTCACTCTTGTTCATTTTGTCAAGAGACTTCGACCGCAAGGCTCTGTCGACATGCTGGTGCCTTGAGATTGTTTCTTAGTAGGAAATACATAGACAGTGAGACAATAGGTTGGCCTTACGTCAAACAGACAAGTTCTTATCATTTCAACATGGGAAAGCAATGTTGAGAAAGCTGTCTTCTTTGAATGTATAACCTGATATTACAATAAGAATATCGCGTATAAGGCCCGTAAGTAGGTCAGGACACTTCGCGAGACCTTACGTTGTTTAGTACTTCCGATGACAAACAACGTTTTACGGCAGTGGTGAAAGCACTGTTACAAGGCGCATGTCCTGGCTAATCATACTCGACACACGCTGTCTGACTCAGAAAACTATGACATGCAACTGGCTACAAAAACACTGGGACTACGTTGCATGAATAGCACGAATATCTGTCAACCGCTGTGCAGCCAAGCGTTGTAATACACTTGGTCTAGTCCAGTGAAGTCATATTTTGCGGTCGCGCAAGTTGGAGCCAGAACTGGTTCTTGAATACATGCATGTCACCGGAAATCTATTGCCGGAAGGTACGCCTCGTGAGACTTACGGGCCCTATTGTTTCACATTTATCTTCTTGTTTCACAATTACCCGCATGCGACTGCCTTTCCCGATTCACTAACATAAATACAATAGAAAAACACAGTCTCGATCAACTCAGCTATCAAAGTTACTGAACATTGCGTCCCAAGAAGTGTTTCAGGAGTGTGAGTTCAAATACTTTTCATAACATTTTATCCTTATCATTATCCCAGCTCATAACTGGGCATCTAATATAATGTGATCTCTCTCGTTATATTTGTAGTTGCCACTCTGTTAATTAACGTTTTCATCTGAAAGACAGAGGGACTTTGTTTCAATAGGAAGTGAGTCAGTGAGTGAGTTTAGTTTTACGCCGCACTCAGCAATATTCCAGCTATCTGACGGCGGTCTGTAAATAATCGAATCTGGGACCAGACAATCCAGTGATCAACGGCATGAGCATCGATCTGGGCAATTGGGAACCGATGACGCGTCAACCAAGTCAGCGAGCCTGACCACCCGATCCCGTGCGGAAGGTCGCCTCTGACGACAAGCATGGGTTACAGAAGATCAATATTCTAACCAGACCTTCACGGGTTGTTCCAATAAGGACCGAAAAATAAATCTTAAACAAGTGTAGAGCGAAGTATGTTTTAGCACCGGTTTATATGTAAACACATTTACAGTCTGATAATACAGTAATATCTCATGACCAGCCTTAAAATTCAGCGTTGCAGCACATAACAAAACAACATGTTATATGTGTTATAGAATCTACTTAATTGGAAACCGATTGCAATCATTGTAAATTAATGGAAATCTGAAGAGTATTATATATAAGAGATTCTGTTCATGTGTGCACATGAAAAAACGCAGATGTTATAGATACCGGCTTCCGGACACTATACTTTTAAAGTCCATAATTTAAAAATTATATGAGGCATTTAATTTATATAGCATTGGAAACTGTAACAATGCAAGAAGACCTATATACACTACACCGGACTGTGTGCGTGTAAATTGCAAAGCATTTTGTAATAAGTTTGCTAAACGCGACTTGGAAAAGGAAGAGCTTGGTAGAAGCTTGACTAATAACGTGCACATGCGGGTACACCTTTTGATACTACGCATGCGCACGGACAGCATGATAATGCAGATAATACAGAATTTTTTTTTTGTGTGGCCTCGTTTGAACAACTCGAGATTGCGAGAATTTACGTCATATCCAAATGAAGCAGTTTAGTATTGTCGACTTTATGAACACGTCTATCGATAAGCTTATCAAAAATTGCAGTAACAGGAAAGAGGATAGGGTTTACTTCCTTTACACGTTTTCGGAATAGCCCGACACGGATGTTCGGTCGAGCGGGCAAGATTTATGAATAAAACAAGGTGACAATGTCAAATGGCTATCGCTGCACACGATTTACTTGTCTTTGTGCGTGAAAATGGTTCACATTAAAAGGTTCTTTTCTTTGTTAATTATTGTTTCCTGAAATAAAACACAACAGGAACTGGGCGGGAAATGTTGTCGGTTGTTCGGTAGTACCGGATATGTATCTGATACTCAACTGATGATGACTATATTCGACATGTCTGAACAGAAATAAATTTGCAATATTTCAAACATGAAAGGAATCATATGGTAGCAAATATGTTTCCAGAAACTAGTGTGGAAGGTGAACATGTTTGTTGTTTACTACATACCGGACACATGAAGCTGTCGGTGTAGAATTCCGATTGCGTATAGTATTGGATCGATGTTCATGATATCAGTCATTGGAATATTTACAGACCGGCACCACATACCCGGATCATTGCTCAGTGCGGCGTAAAACAACAAATAATCAAACATGCAGATATAGATCTTTTTTTTGAAAGAGCAAGGAGTCAATGTAAATAAATTTGCGGCTGCTTTAAACAGATATTTAATAAATGATGGTTAATGGATAAACATTGTGTAACTACTGTATCTTATATAATATACACAAAGTATATTCAATAAATATACCCCCCAAAAACAAAAATATGCATTCGGGCATACAGACACTAACAGAGACACAAATACACACACACACACACACACACACTGGGACGTCCATTTTGAAGGTAAAAGTGCTTATTCGCTTTGCATATTTTCTGTTGCAGATGGTGCAGTTGGTGGTGAAGCTGTCTACAACGCCCCCAGTATCAGCAATAAAGACGAAGAGGTTAGAATTGTTCTTCTTGGACGGACAGGATCCGGGAAAAGTTCATCTGGAAATACCATCCTTGATACAAAAGCGTTTCGCACTTCACTGAGTGCGACCGCAGTTACCAGAGAATGCAAGCTTGGTACATGCACCAGGTTCGGGCGCCGTCTTCAGGTTATTGACACACCAGGGTTGTATGACTCTGAATTGTCGACAGAAGACATGTCTCGAGAGGTTGTCAAATGTGTTGAGATGACTGCTCCGGGACCACATGCTTTTATATTCGTTGTCAGAGTTGACAGATTCACAGAGGAAGAACAGAATACAATTGAATATTTCATGAAACTATTTGGCAGAGGCATGTTGAATTACTTAATCATTCTGGTCACCAAAAAGGATGAGCTTATTTACAATGGTCAAACAGTCGAAGATTATATTGGAAACGACTCCAGCAAACTGAAGTCTGTGCTGAATGATTGTGGTGGCAGGTATGTCATGTTCAATAATAGAGGATCAGAGAGAGAAAAGGAACAAGACGTTCAAACTTTAGTGGAGATCATTGATAAGATGGTCCAGGACAACGGAGGGAAGGTTTATACAAATGCCATGTTTCAGGAGGCCGAAAAGGTTATGAAAGAAAGGGAAGATCAACTGAAGCGGGAAAAGGAAGAAGCCTTGACATCTCAACTTGATGAGATCAGAAGCCAGGTGAAGCAACTCGAAGCCTCGACATCACAACTTGATGTGATCAGAAGCCAGGTGAAGCAACTGGAGAAGGACCGTGAAGAAGTCACCGATCAGTTCTTGAGGGAATTGGGTGCTGAACGTGATTATCAATCGTCTACCAGAGATTGTGAGAACATTATAAAACTGTTTGATGACCTGAGGCTGCGGCGCGAAAGAGAGATCCAAGCCATACGAGGTATTGGAGCCGGAGAGGCTGAGGTGAATTTTAGAGAACAAGCGCAAAAGAATGGCAGTTTTCTTCAAGACAAAATACTACCTGCTCTCCAAGCTTTAGGGGACCAAGCAGCAAGACCATTTCTTATTGCATTTGGTTTTGGTGCTTTCTTTTTTGGGTTACATCGACTGCATTTGATGGAAAATGTGCTTGCGACAGTGTGGTAGATATCCAAATAAGTGATATTTTGTTGCAAAAAAAACACGTCTAGAATCAGTGACATAATAATTCAGTCGATGACACTATGAGAGAACTCTGCGTCGTTGATAAATTATGTAGATTTGTGATGTCCTTTATCAACTGGACAATGGTTCCAAACCTTGCTGGTCTCATCCTTGAAACAGACTATACTTAGTTAGTTTGTTACTGTTGCTTTTTAAGTTGCCTTAAATGTGCTTGGACAAAACAGACACACGTCCTTTTTTGCTCAGAGCATATTTTGATTTCTGGATGCCGTTATGAATCCACTTTTGTTTCCTGTTTTGTTACATATTAAGTTGAATAGAAATGATGGTGTAATGTGGGTGTCATTTATCAGGGCAGGTGCTTCTAGAAAGTAAAGCATCATAATTAGAGTGCTTCTGGCGTGTGAACCTATGACGAACAGGAACCTGCACACACATGATTCAGGGTTACCCGCACAAGATTAGGAGTTAATCAATGCCTAACATGCCACCTTATGTGACGATGTGTGGCACAAACTTGGATATGAAACGATGTGACAAACTGTGGGACTGCCAAATCCCCAAAACAGCTGTCACTCTGGAGACCTGACAATCATTGAGTGATCAAGAAACTGTAACAAGATCAAATAAAACAGTAAAATGAATTCAGCAAACATACTTTGTTTATTAAGAAAATGTACATATTTCTGTACAATGAGCAGACTACCAAATTAGTAATCATATACTTTGAATAAAATATGAATAATTACAGATGAATATATGATTTATCAAGAATATAGGTCAGATAAATTTCAGCACCTTATGATAAGTAAATCCTGACAACAGTGGGAAGTCAACAGGCAGATGGTAACAAGTTATATCAGATTGTAATAGTCACTATTCTAATACAGATCACTGTATATTTAACTACAAAAGGAGCATTCCTGTGTTCAAGTGCTCATAGCTGCTGATAGATACTGCATTGTGTATGTTTCTGTATGTGATAATCTTTGTTATCTCACCCTGCATCATCAATAAATACTTCAGCTATAACGTTGTATGTTATCATTGACATCTCACTTTGTTGTGTGTACTTAATTTTAGAGTAAATCCTAACACCATTATCAAGCAATTGATGTGTTAGCATCTAACCAGAACGTTGCATCTATTGCAATACAGAAGTTGTCTATCCATAAAGAGTGTTCCTCTTTATCATAATAGCTTCTGAATGCTTCATAAAGAGGTGATATCATACTTTGTTGTGCATGCTTCATTGACAATAATTGATGTAACAAAATGCATCTTGTAAGCTTTCTCAAAAAAATTTCAGGTAAGGATAATTTTTGTTGTATATGTTGATAATCATTTACATCACACAGCATAATGCATGCTTCCTTATTACCGTTGTGCGAAGGTAATGATAACCACTGATATCACACACTGTATAGCATAACATATCACAAACGTGTTTCCCATAGCTATAGCTACTGTATGGCTACATACTTATAGTGACAAATTCTTTACGTTCCATTTGTGACCTCACATGTTGATTATTCCATTGATGAATTTGATCGAGGGCTATGAATCTAGTCACTTATACACTGATAGTTCCCACTCTATATCAAACCTTTCCAGGTGCTCAATATATGAAAACAATTGCAATGTGTGGAATCAAAACAGATGAAACAAGCATACTACTACTTCCAACTTAAGAACGAAAAGGATGACAGCCCCATATTGTTGCATTTCATCCACATCAGGAGGATTTATGTTTATAATAAGTCCATAATTAGCTGTATTACATTTTTATCCTCAAATGTCTAGACACCAAACAGCCCATTCACAAAATTCTACAATAAGTATTGACCACTCAATCTCATTACTTTCCTTTTAACCGCCTCCGTGGTGTAGTGGTTAAAGCGTCCGCCCAGAGAGCGGAAGGTCGCGGGTTCAATACCCGACCGCGTCATACCAAAAGACGTTAAAATATGGTACTTGTTGGTCCCTGCCTGGCGCTCGGCATTAATGGGTACAACAAGGACTGGTCGGCTCGGAGTCAGTATAATGTGTCTAAGTGGGATATTCATGCTTCACTGCGGCATGGTATATCAGTGGGCTAGCACTATAAAACCCGCTTAAGTCTGGGCTAGTACAAGCAGCTGCACATACACATACACACGCATGCACGTCGTCATATGAGCGAAATATTCTCAAGCACGACGTAAAACCCAATTTCACCTCACCTCACTTTCCTTTTACGACAAGCAAGGGGTGCTGAAGACCAACTCTGGTCTGATCTTCACAGTCTTTTTGACGTAAAACAAGTCGTTCATCAGGGCATATGGCAGCAATTATGTCATATTTTGACGTCACATCAACGACTAAGTTACTGTGGTATTATTTTCTTGACCACAACAGGAATCCTCCTTTAATTGTTTACTTCTTCATTATTCAACTTAAAACAGATTTTACATAGTAATTATGTATAAGAATATATTATACTCATAACGATGATGTCAACTGAGATTGCATCATGTCCCTGTAGCTTACATAAATATATATACATATTCATATAGTACAAGACATAACAATGTAAACACCAGCAAAACAGACAATGTTTGGTGAGTCCAATGAAACATGCAGATATAACATACAAACACTGTTATCTCAGCATTTCAGGCACATCGTTAATTAATCAACAAATACAGACTTGAAACACACATCCTGTTAGTAACAGATAGTGACGTTAATTAATTCAGAGCAATATCACGTTCACAATTCCGACGATAATATCAGCAGCTCCTCAACAACTCACTGCATCAATACAATTCAATCCAATGGCATCTCATTTACTATGTACAATTTCATATTTATGTATGTAAGAGTGTACAAGAATAAATTTGTAAAAGTTATACAAATACATAGTTGTTTCTTAGAAGTCTTGCATCTTAGAAGTGGTAAGATGACACAATTATGGAATATGACTTTCTTATTCCTCTGTGATAGCAACATTTCAGTTGAAATTCTTTTACCATTATAAAGCAGTCTTGGTTGGGCATAAAGATCTGCACTGAACATTTATATTACAGTATAATAAAGCAGTTTTGTTGAATACATACTGTCATCACTTCTAGAAAGCAATATCTTACGGAATGAGGAATTACAACTCACATGCCCAAAGATAGTGTCTTGAAATGTGATATAAATATAAAAGTTTTAAAACAGTTTTAGATATACATGTTTGATCACAGTGCATAGCGTACTTCATGGCTATTGATCAATGGACAATCAAATAATGAAATCAATATTGCAGACATGAGACTCAAGGATTTTCACAAACTTGAATATGTTCACGATGCTGAATAGTTACCCAGCTTTTAACTTGGGAAAGTATTTCAGTCATATGACGACATGTCCTATTTCAATGTGGCAGAGAGCCGAATGTACATCAAGATGTTTCAAGACTCTTGTGTAACACATAAAGATGGACACAGCCGCACATTAGTTTTAAACTAACATTGTAATCTGTCATTCAAAACAACAAGCAGCGGATCCTGTTTAACCAAGGGAAACAACTCTGCATAGTAAACTATGTGACGTGTAATCTCATTGGTATATTGTGTCATGACGAACCTATCTGCATATGATTCCTCTGAACCAAGTCGAGGTTGCTGATATTATAACAATGATGATAAGACTAATACACATATAGAAAACAATGTGAGTTAAGTAATAAATGAAATAAGTATTAGATAAGTAATACACTACATAGACAACTCAATCACACAACAAATATGAATCATAAACTGAAATGACTTCTACACAGTCCGAAGCGATGATAAAGTGACATTAATGAACACAGGTCAGGACAGACTGAAAATATATGATGTTGATATTTGTTCATCACTTGTCGGTCATTACAAAGTGTATTTCTTATAAAGAAATCTTTATGGCAAGTTATGGTAATACTTCTTTATACATGAGAGGGTGCTGATCACAATAAGTTTCAAAACCATAAAATCGCTGTATACTTTGAATATCAATGTCAACTTTCCCCCTAAAGACTGTTTAATACAAAACTTACATTGGCCTCCGAGTAAAGGAATCTATTTCTACAAAACTAAAGCTGAACTCAAATACTAAGAATGAAACATTCATTTGCGTGAAAGATCTTGTCTACAGATTTCATCTTTTGTGGGTTTTGAGACAACTTGCCGTACATACGTTAATTACATGCCATACTTAATTTCATGCAAACACGTAGCAAACTGATGTATATTTACATGTCTACAAATGTTGTGAATTTGAATGGGGCTTAAGGTAACGTATGGGAATTATTATCATCTGAACACTAAGATCACTTTGTACAATGGCACCCTGTTCTGAATGACATTTCCACAGGTTGTCATATCTTGAAAACCAACCCTGGATCTCATCAGTATTGTAATGGCAACTTATGTCCAACAGTTGAGACAAGTAGCTGTATGAGTTAGCTGTAAAACTCGCTGTCTGTTATCACGTACACCATATTGTATCATCTTGTGAGGTGATGTGTAGTACAAAACAATACAGTGTAAAAAATGAGGACTCATGGTATGTAAAATATAATTTCTGATGGTATATACAAATGTTCCATTGTCCGATCTGATGGCTTAAGTCTTTAGTCATTCCCTTTGATTATCAAATACCCCCCCCACTGTACAACACATCATGTGTCACATCTTAACGTCACATACATCGTGACAAAGTACTTATCATCATCATCATCATCATCATCATCATCATCATCATCAGTGAGAGTGATTTTTATGCCTGTCTGAACAGTATTTCAGTGATATCACGCCATGTCAGCTTGATGTTGATGTTGTTAGAACATCTTTCCATATTTCTGAAATAATTATGAGTATACATATGTAATTTTCCAGCAATATTCAGCCAGATAAATGTCTCTACCTTCAACTTCTCTTAATATGTAATTTATATGCTTTCTGTTCAACACTCATCATGAATATAGACTACTGCTTGTCCATTCCATGTAACATTACAAACAATTTCTTCTTAATTAGACTGAATGTTCTTACTTTAATTGAATGTTCTCACTTTAACTAATATTCTTAATTTCACTGAATGTTCATTATTTTACCCCATGTTCTTAATTTAACTGAATGATTCAAAGTTCTGTCCAATCAATTCAGTGATTGAGCAAATGTTTGTTTAATGTCCCTATAAACACTATGTCAGCTGTAACACAATCGTTCACCTCAGAGTGGTAAAATCATCCCCAGTGTTTTTGAAACTACAAACGTGAGTATGGTACTGACAAACCAAGAATCATAATCACACCAAATCTTGGACTTGAACCCAGACTTGTTTTGTGTCTACAAATACGAGACAGGAACCCAGCATGTTCTGCCATCAAACTAAGGATGTTGTGTTCAGTCCCTGACTGGGGCTGCCAGCTAATGCTCCAGGTGAGATGGCCACAGGTGGGTCTTCGATGACTTTAAAGGTACCGTTGAACATGGCACCATCTGTGCATTGTTCTGTCATTCTCTAAGCCACAGAGGATTCTCTCATCACCGTCAACCATCTGCAAATATGCCGCCATGTATGGATATGTGAAGAACTATGTGTTAATGCCAGTCGAAACACATCAAAGACACATTTATTTTTAACTTTGTGAAGCACCACTGAGCAGCCACCGGTTGGATCTTAGGTGCTATACAAGTGCACTATTATCATTATCACATGGGTGTTTGTTGATTTTAAATTCTGTAATTTGAGGAAGAATATGTTTTGGAGTATATTCTTACACTATTATCTGGCAATAATCCATAATTGACATCCATAAATTTTCACTTTCATGTGCATCACTTCTAAATGCCATTCAAAGACGTCAGACACAAGACAAACTTTCAGCTTAGGTTCGCGCATTTCACCACAGACACAAGATTTACCTAGCAGCCTTACTTCTGACATGAGCAGTGGGAAAAGTTTAGCAAACGATAAAACATCAACACTATGGCAGGCATGTAATATATGAATCTTTTCCAAGCTGTTACAAACCAGACAATCTCACTGCCATGTGATATCACATCCTATATACTTGGCTCAAGGACTAAAAGGAAACAGCAGAAAATATTCATAAAATTGTATCACAATTTTCCTAATTCATCATAATAAGCATATTTCAAGATCTGAATTTAGGCAGATACATAAATATGACCACTGTACATAATCATATTGACATGTTCTTACTTCTCAGTGGCGGCTGCGCTGTCTGTGCGGAAGATGTGTGGCTGTGTGTTGCTGTGGGTCAACTGAAACACCAGGTCAGGCTCCGCTCCCTCGATCCACTAAAACACAAACATCTCCATGTTGATCACACCCTACACAGCATCACCAAATGTCACAAACACCTGCATTATGTGAATCAATCGAAACACAACAACACATCATTTAAATCAGAAACTACGTAACATTCCGAATAAAACGAAATGAATAAGTGACATAAATATTTCCCTCACGCTGATTGAGAACACATTCATAATATATTGACGAATATATCAAACCTTTTTTTTGGTCCATGTAACTTGCTGTACATTTTATTGTGTATGTGTATAAAAAATGTGTATAATAATGAACTAGTGAGTGAGATTTAGTTTAAAGCAACTTTTAGCAATATTCCAGCAATATCACATTGGGGGACACGAGAAATGGGCTTCTCACATTGTACCTATGTAGGGAATCGAACTTAGGTCTTCGGCATGATGAGCGAACACTTTAACTACTAGGCGACCTTACCAGCCCAATAACAAACTAAAATCAGTGGTCTCTTTGAGCTTGTTATAGCTGTAGTTTACTGCATCTTGACAGGGACAAAGGTGTGGAATCCATCATTTGTAGCCTTAATGTGTTTTTAATGCTGGACTCCAAAATAAACATCTACATCGCTGTTTATATCTTAGTCTGTGGTAGAAACCATGAGCAAAACACCACCTACACCAGCGTTCGAAATACCTGCCTGCCCGACCGCCCGGGACGGGTTGTTTTTAACACGATTCTCAAATTCACCTGCCCGACGATCAGGTTCAAATTTAGAGATATTTTATGGGCAGGTAAGTTCTGGTCAGGGTGGCAAGTTTTAACTCTAACCAGCCCTGTGGTCTGGGTGAATTTTTTGTTAGTTTCATACCCAGCCAACACCCATTCCCATATTGTCCTCAATAAGATCCTCAATTTATGTTTAGTACACACTCTACCTTGGGATCATGTGAAGCAGACATTCTGGAGCTGTTCGGTTGTAAATAACTGGTGTCTACCAGCCAAATGAGTGAGTGAGGTGTGTTCAACACTGCTTTAAACAATAGTATCACAACATAGCCCACTCCCATGCTTCCTACAAGGGTGTAACTGTACATGAGGATAAAACAAATTATAATATGAAACCCATCTTCCATGTCTAGCAACTATACAGGTGAAACATGGAATACAAACTAGGGTCCTCCATCACCAGTGTTAAAGGATACTGGTATTAGAGGGAGATAAAACATAGAGGTCACGTACATGTGGTTATATGAGCCAGGTATACCAAAGAGGACCTCAGTATAGGTGGGTATTGACAGGTATGTTGGTTAGAACCAGAATACTTACAGAGAACACAGAATTCTGTAGAAAAGTGGGCACTCCATCAAAACACATTTCAATATTACAACACAGAAGACCGAGTGTGTGACATGAATAAGAAGCAAAATAGTTACTTGCCTAAAACAAACAAACAAACAAACAAACAAAAAAGGACCAACTAAACGACTGTGCTGGTGGCTTACAGTTTTCAAGTGTGATAAAGAGTGTTATCAGCTGGAAACACCAAGTACGCAATGAAACCACATTATCTCTATCGTCTACTGTCAATCTCTCTAGACAACTGTAAGTCAAATGGATATGGAGGTACATGGCTCTTTGATAATGAGAGTGAGTGAGTGAGTTTAGTTTTATGCCAAACTCAGCAATATTCCAGCTATGTGGTGGCGGTCTGTAAATAATCGAGTCTGGACAAGACAAACAAGTGATCAGCAGCATGAACATCGATGCACGCAATTGGGATACGATGATATGTGTCAACCAGGTCAGCGAGTGCACTTTCATAATGAGGTTTCACTGCTATACTTTATGGCCTCAGCAATGATAGAGAGAAATGTAGTATTTTAATTCTTAAAAATAATCAGAGAATGAATATGATTGATATAACATCCGAAGTATTTTCTTATTTTGTATAAAGAGAAAAAAGCATTAATGCTTTTTTACAGTCAATAGACCTTCAAAGTATTACCATAATTATCACTATGCCTGCAATACTCGCTTAAGGTTGGGGAAAATAGGACACACTGCAGGGTCTATAAACATGTAATTTTTATGATAAAATTGATAGTTTATACATATCCTGACTCATGCTATATGCTTATCCCCCTTTCCCTTTCGACGGTTATGAATCCCTTTGTTCCCTGAAGCTAACGTAAAATTACTCATCAGTGGGTTGCCTCCCCTTTCCCGCCAAAGTGTCCCACGTGACCTGAACACTGGCATGCTCTTGTCACTCTCCCCCTGAATTAAGCCTGCACTAAGACCTACAGGGAGGCCCGTAGTGCTGAGAGGGGACGGTTAGGGCGAGGAGGAACAGCGTCTTCTGAGTTTAGCAACTCAAATGTGGGGTGACTCAATGGCTCATAGTCATTGCTGGTAAGATGTTGCAGCGCTATGTTGAGATTCTAGGCTCGAGCTCTGAACTTCTGCTGCTGATCTAATTTAAATGACCTCTGCAATGTTGAAGAGCTGGAACGTCAGTTGTAGCAGTGGCAATGATCTTCTTGAGCCTTGAAGATTAATGTAGATGGCTACTGTTGAGTTGTCCGTGTGGATCATTAGGAATTGATTCCTCAGTAAGTTGAACTGCTTTGATGACTGCCTTGAATTTCATCTGGTTTATGTGTAGAGCCTTCTCTTCCGGGCGACCAAGTTCCTGAGGCAACCTCCTCACTGAGGTGCGCTCCCTATCTTTGCAGAGATGCATCCACGAGAAGGTGCAGATTGTACGTCAGCTCTTGTAGATAAGTCCTGCCACAAACATTTGACCTGACTTTTCGAGATGAGGCCTGAGGAAGCGTTGAAGCGGTCTTAGCTGTAATCATCCTTGATCTTATTGGTCGTGGAGAGTTGAGAGTTTCTGGTAAACTCAACAGGATGCTTGACCACCTGTTCTGGAACCATGATGCAATTTTGCGTGGTGATGAACCTGATGGCGAGGAATTGTTGGACCTGAGATGGCTCTAATTCCGACTTCATGTGGTTGACTAGTCAGCCCAACTGCCTGAGTAGTTTGATCGTAAACTGTAGTTGACATCTTGAGTTGATCTGCTATCTGATGCCTGGATTCCGTCGTCTAGGTAGAAGGCACTGCGTAGTTCCTGTTGGTGTAGATATGCAACGGCTTGGTTACATGTATTAATAGCAACGGGACGAGGAAATTCCAAAGGGGAGGACCCTCCACTGGTAGTGCTGCCCTTGATACAGGAATCGTAGATACTTCCTCGATGCCGGATGTTTGGGGATGTGCAGGTAGGCGGCTTGCAGATCTATCCTGGCTAGATAGTTGTTGGGTTTGATGAGATGGCGCAAACTGTGGTAAGTGCAGCATCTTGAACTTGTCCGGTTTCAGCAAATAGCCTAGGTTGAAACGTTTCATATTGAAGATGAGGCGGAACTTCTCCTTGGAGTCCTTCTTTGGTACCAGGAAAATTGGAGAGTACAAGCCGGGAGAGAGTTTGTGTTGATCCAGGATCTATGGCATAATAGAGTCAATGGCTTGCTGTGTTGTAGCTCTGGGTAACTATGTACCCAGGGTTGACAGTAAGCAGAGGCGTTGCCTTGAGCTGGATCCCGTAGCCCTCCCGTAGTCCTTGCATGACATAGTCGTCTTCTAGTAGTCTCCAATTCTCTCAGTAGCTGCCTAGACGTCCACCCACGGTTGACAGTTACATAGGAACGACTGGGGATGGAACGGACCAGGTGGTACCAGGTGTCCTCCCAACCGTCCTCGTGGGCGATGAAGGAGACTGATTGAGTGAGTTTAGTTTCACGCCATACTCAGAATATTCCAGCTATATGGTGGCGGTCTGTAAATAATCGAGTCTGGACCAGACAATCCAGTGATCAACAGGATGAGCATCGATCTGCGCAATTGGGATCCGATGACATTTGTCAACCAAGTCAGCGAGCCTGACCACCTGATCCCGCTAGTCGCCTCTTACGACAAGCATGGGTTACTGAAGATCAACATTCTAACCTGGACCTTCACGGGTCGATGAAGGAGAGAGTGACAAGAGCATGCCAGTGTTCAGATCATGTGTGACGCTTTGGTGGGATTGGGGAGGCAACCCATGGGTGAGTGATGTTACATTTGCTTCAGGGAACAAGGGGATTCAAATTTCCACGTTAACGTCGAAAGGGAAAGGAGGATAAGCATATAGCATGAGTCAGGGTAAGGAAAATTTGTATACCATGGATCCAACCGATTTGTTGCTGCTTAACAAATTCTACACATAATGTTAAAAAGCTGAAGGAATTGCAGTCAAAGAAAATATGTAAAGAAATATCAGAGAAAGAATGTTGTTTTCTGCTATTGTCAGCATGACAACATCATGGCTTCTACTGTTAAGTCTGTACCAGTGAAACTGGTGGTCAACAACATGAGCAACGAATTCTCTGAGGTTTGGTCTTCCCGGACCGCCAGTCATTATATAAACAATTCATACTTGGCAGCCATGTTGTCCATCTGATACCTGTGATAATCACTGTATATGACAAGCATGAATGAGATCGGACCTAAATAGTGTGCTATGGCTAGTGGAAACTCATGAAGCAAAGTGTGGTTTGACACAATATCAACTATCTGTCTTACCCCTGTTTTTAAGTGATCCTGTAAAGAGGGAATTGTCAGCATGCAACAAGACAGTTTTTATTTCAAGTCGTACACATGAATCCAATCATGAAGCGTTTATAAGATATTTCATGTTTTGTGGAATAATGTAAGTAAAATTCAGCATGTTTATTATGGCCATGATAAGGAAATTAAACATAGTTTGTAAAGACACGGATAAATGCTAAAGTATTTGTAAGGTCACATGGAGATGACCTAAACAAATAAACAGATGTTTTTTCTGCTGTCCGGTATTCATTATTCATTCTGATACCATATAAAATGTAACATGTTACCCAACTCTTCATCATGTACTGTTCTGTTACATCTTTGTCTTTTGGTTACACCAGAAAACATAAAATACACATAATAATAATAATAAGTCCCATAAATCATAATAAGAAAGATGAAAATGTTGGCATTCCCTTCAATAAAATCTTTACAGAATTATCATTATCTATGTTGAAGTTTTAAATTATTGATAAACAGTGAGTGCGCTTCTAAACCCTCATATTTGAGGTGTTGTCAGATCAGCATGCCTCATAATGTAATCATATCTGTGTTAAAATGTGACAGACCCTTTCTTATTTTTTTGTGAATACGGTGAGTTCAGTGAGTGAGTGAGTGAGTGAGTGAGTGAGTGAGTGAGTATGATTTTGCGTTTCTATTAGCAATATTCCATCTATAGCATGTCGGGGACACCAGCAATAGGCTTTACACATTGTACCAAAGTGAAAAACTGAACCGGGTCTACAGAGTGACGAGGGAACGCTATAACCACTAGTCTACCCCACTGCTCCGAATGAGTTCAGACACAGAAGAAGGATGATGGTCAGCTTTTGTGCCTTGAATTGTAACTTACATGATCATAGCCCCATATTACGAGCAGTGACTTCATGAGTATGTGGGAGTTATGTCAGCTGATTAATGGCATCAGTTTCTTGTGACAGATGTAAATATTGCTAAACCACCATTCCTTTTTCAGAAAATATGGATTGATTATCAATGACCAAGAAAATATTAATGACACTCCCAGTATGTGATAATTTCTTCCCAAAAAGTACAATTTATCTCATAAATTATTTAAAGTGCACCAGAATAGTAAGGTGCTATAACATCAATATCATTATATTTATTCTTTTCACAGCTCGAAAGAAGAAAAAAATAGTTAAAGATCGCTCAAAGAAAACAGATTTTAAAATTATTGACATTTTCATCAATGTCAGTTAACTAAATGTAATCTGCATACCAGATAATCAACAAGGACACCGTACGTCTACAAGACTTGAACCCCAACAAGACAACACAAATGTTCACAGGAACACCTACCACAGTTGTCCTGGACACCTCGAAGCCCAGCAAGGGGAGACTCTCTATCGCAGCCATGTCCTACAACACATGTCAAAGACAGGAAGTCAATCAGTCAGCTAGATTTGTGTGTTGACACTGCACTTGACGATATTACAACAAGTATAGATTTCATAATCAGCTACTACAGTTTCTGGGGACCAATGCTATCTGGAGTGAGTGAGCATTTAGCAATATTCCAGCAATATCACAGCCAGGGACACCGGAAATGGCCATGGGCTTCACACATTGTACCCATGTGGGGAATCGAACCCTGGTCTTCGGCGTGATGAGCGAAAGCTTTAACCACTAGGCAACCCCACTGCCTCAATTCTATCTGGAGGTATCCTTGTTTTCTTAAATGAGAACCTATGAGCTGCAAAGGAAGGAGTGAGTGAATATGGTTTTATGGCGCTATTATTCCAGTAATAAACGGAGGGGACACCAGAAATGGGCTTCACACTTTGTACTCATGAGGAGAATCGAACCCGGTTCTTCGGCGTAACTAGCAAACGCTTTAACCGCCCCAAGAGGGGAAGGAATGTATCTTTGCACCCATATGTCGAATTGGCATGAAGGGCTAATTGCAGAGTGTTAAGTTCCATCATTTTCAAAACAATCAAAAGACAACCTCTATTGACATTTAACACACAGTCATGTGACACAAATAATTCTCGCTATTTGTGAAAACCTCACCTCACTAGCTTTGTACGTGTAGAGAACTTTGTCCTTGACCACAAACCACAGTTTCTTCCACTTCTTGTTATTTTTAAGGATACGAAGATATCCACTCATCACCGATCCTTCATCATTGGCACGGACCTGGGAACAAAGCAGATATGCTAATGTTAAAACCAACACAGTTCTCATTTAAATTGTAGTTATCATTGTAGAGGCATTGTTTTCTGAGCCTGCAATGTTGTTTTACAACACAGACATAAGTACTACAGCTGTGTGAAGCCATGACAAGAAGTCAAGATTTGTCAAACAGTTTCCTATAAAGCTTTGCAGGTTATATCTGTGTTCATGACAACAACATTGTAATTTTTATAACATTCATCCCCACATTGAAAATTAAAACTCAGGTAGAATCTCTTGTCAGCTGCTACACATATAACAATTAAGGGCGAAAATATCGGGGGTTCATATTTTTTATATGATGCCCTAGGGAAAATATCACTTTGTCATGGTGACGTCATGAACAATGCTATGACGTCACGTTTCTTCTGTGATGTTGCATTCTACATACGGTGACTTCGGGTAGCCAGCCTATGTTTGAAAGTAGATTTGGATATATTTTTCTCAATTTAACGACTTCGGTTATAAACAGAATATCATATTTGTGCCCATATCATACTATGTTTTCGACACTCGTGCTCAAATATCGGTATATCCCTTGCTCTCACTTGGGAAATACCAACATGTCATAAACATAGTATGACATGGGCACTCATAAAATATCCTCTAAGTATCATACAGAAATATGAGCTTATGTTGTTGATATGAGACAGAACTCTCATATGAAACATGTTTTGGAAATGATCTGGACCAGACAATCCAGTGATCAACATCATGAGCATCAATCTACGCAATTGGGATATGATGTCAACAAAGTCAGCGAGCCTGATCATCTGATCCTGTTTGTTCTGATGACATGTTGGTTTTCTTTATAGATCTGATTGCCCAAACCCACCCAATCACATGAATGCACAGCGTGTCGTTAGGATCGCAAATGGGACTGTTGGCAGGTTTGGGACAGTGGAAAACGACAGGTAGCAATAGACTACCACAGGATTGAGTTAGTAGTAGACTGTGGTAGAGTTTATTAGCCCATTTCTTCATTTCTTCACACACTTTTGAGAATCAGGTTGAATTCCTTTAAGATTTCCCTAGTTTTTTCAGGTCCTCATGTTTAATTCCTTGTTAAGGTGAAAGGAAAGAGACTACCTAATTGATTAGTTTTCCTTTAACATCTCTGCCAAATATTTAGTTCCACTGCTTTACATCACTCATACCCATCACATACCATTTAGTTAGACGACAATTGCAATCTGAGAAACAGTTATCTAGTAATAGTCAGTGAGTTTAGTTTTACGCCGCACTCAGCAATATTCCAGCTATATGGCGGCGGTCTGTAAATAATCAAGTCTGGACCAGGACAAGCCAGTGATCAACAGCATGAGCATCGATCTGCGCAATTGGGAACCGATCGCATGTATCAACCAAGTCAGAGAGTCTGACCACCCGATCCCAAAAGTCGCCCCTTACGACAAGCATGGGTTACTGAAAGTTTATTCTAGCCCGAACCTTCATGGGTCTATCTAGTAATATCTACAGATATATCATAATCTCATCAACATCCCACTCACTTCTTTCAGTACAGCTGGTCTTTTCATCTGAGATTTGCGACCACTTTTCCTGATTTTCTGAAACCTTTCTTTCAGATTCTTGAGACTGATTCTTGATGGCTGAGCTCCGTCTTCCTCCGGCTCCACGCTACGGTCCTCCTCCTCTAAACCTGAATGAACATTAGAGAAAATTAGCCAATCAGGGAGGGACAAAGTAACAGCTCGCAAAATACGGAGGAAGAATTATTTCAATTATGAGTGGAGATTCAGCTAAGTTGGAGTGATATGTCAAAGACTTACCTTTCTCTAACTTCTCAAAGCAGTCATCACATACACGAGCTGGCTTATACTTCAGGTAACGCAGTGGCGCCTTATTGTCGGAACAGTAGCCACATACAACCTGTCAAACAAAATTGGTTATTGTGATGGAAAGATTAACTTTCACTTACAACATCAAACTACAGAAATCTGTTGGAAAATGTCCAATATTGAAAAATTATTTCTGAAATGGCAAAGCTATAATGTAACATTATTTAATGAAAAGTTGACATGACTACTAGGTTTACTCTGATAATGTAATTTTGGATTTGTCTCACAGTGTCAATAATATCATAAAAATGTGGAAATTTTCTTTTGATATGAAGTCAAATTGTATAGTTCACACACATTTATAAAACAATTTGAACACAGATACCTAACTATTCATCCAAAGTAACAGAAAGGTAGCTGAAATGCTACAATGTGAAGATTAAAATTCCTTGTAAAGGGAGACAACTCACTCTCCCACATGAACGACAGTGGTGTCGCCTCCAGGTAATAGTGAACTCGCCCAGACACAGCATGCACATGGTGACGCGGGCGTCCGGCACCCACAGCGGTGCCTTGTGACCCAACACAAAGTCCTTGTCCAGCACGAAATTCTGCAGGAGACAATACAAAACAATTATGGTTAACTTAGAACGTCATCATGTATTCTACTCAAAGGAAGGTAAGGAACACCTTCCTTTCTAAACATCTTTTGAGCAGTATATCTTAAATGACATGACAGAGTGAAGTCCTGCAAACTGATGCATTAATTGGCTTTGCACATCACAGTCTGAAGCTGCAAGGGTGTTGATATTTTGAGCATGAAGAGTATCTAAATTTTTTTTCATATTGTTTTCTATCATTTGTTTCACAACTTGTTTATAAACTTGTCATGATAATATCTAAAATGGCAGCTTGAGGGAATTCCTAAGAGGTGACCAAGTGGATTGGGTGGCCAGGTTCCACTACTTAGTTGAAGGCCTTTTAGTGAGTGAGTGAGTGAGTTAGCTTGGTTTTACGCCGCTTTTAGCAATATTCCAGCAATATCACGGTGGGGGACACCAGAAATGGGCTTCACACATTGTACCCATGTGGGGAATTGGACCCGGGTCTTCGGCATGACGCGTGAACGCTTTAACCTCTAGGCCACCCCACCGCCCCTGAAGGCCTTTTAACATTCCCTGGTAGAGTGGATTGTTTCCAAGACATGCACACATTCACATACAGCTGGATTATTGCTGCATGTGATGTATTCAACAGTCAGTGTGATGTTTTTTTACATACATCAACACAATCACTGGATAAATCAAAACTGATATCAGTATGGTGGACAGAGTTATCTCCCTTACCTGTGGCCCATGCTGCATGGCTTCGAAAGTGTGTCTCCTAGACGTAATCTCAGCGATGGCTGACGTGAGAGCTTTCAGCCACTCATCTCTCTCCTCCGGAGTACTGTAAAGATAGGATCAGAAATATATAAATATATCTGAATTTATCATCTTAAACTGTCAGAGCATTGACGTGATTGTCATAGTTTGGAGACTTGACCTGGACCCATGTGCACAAAGCCATGTTAGCCCTACAACAATCGTAACTCCCCTACTTTAACATAGACTTACACCAGACACAGTGCTAACATCAGTTTGTGCATGTGGACCAAGGTAGGCAAGTGGCGATAATGTGAATATCTGATGACATCCGGGTTAGAATTAGTCTTCAGCAATGCTTGTCATAAGAGATGACCGATGGGATTGGGTGGTCAGACTCGCAGACTTGGTTGAGTCATCATTTCCTAATTGCACAGATCCATGCTCGTGATGTGTAATCAATGGATAATCTGTATCCAGATTCGACTATTGACAAACTGACATCATATAGCTGGAGTTAGTGAATGAGTGAGTTTAGTTTTACGCCGCTTTTAGCAATATTCCAGCAATATCATGGCAGGGAACACCAGAAAAGGGCTTTACACATTATACCGATGTAGGGAATCAAACTCAGGTGTTTGGCATGATGAGCGAACGCATTAACCACCTGGCTATGCCACCGTCCCTCATGTACATGGAATATTGCAGAGAGCGGCATTACACAACAAAGAAACCAACTTATTCTAACTACTGCAGTATAACAGTACCTGGCAGCCACAGTGAACGAGCGCTGAACACTGATGATGCTGAATTCATTGCTGAATGCTTCCTGCTGCGGAGTGCACACCTGCACGAAAAACAACCACATTAGTCATACGACAAAATAACTGTATCTCAAATCAGTAAAAAATAGACTGAAATCATTTGGAAACAAATATGGAAAACTCTCCTAAACAGAAATAAACAAGTAAATAAACACTAATACCACATACTGTCTGTAGTATGAACCCAACTTGATGAAGAAACCCTGTAGAAAAAATACATAAATGTCGGTTTCTGATTACCTGAGCACTCCTCTATTATTTTCAGTGTACATGCTTACAAGCGAGTAACATTTTCTGTGTTGGGAATGGAGAACCGTGGGAATTCATTTGGTACTTTATGTTAGTAATTATTTATCTCGAATAATTGAGTTACGTATGATGTACGGAAAATATAGATGGAAGGGAGATAACTCTAAATTTGATTTTCTTGTCATCTGTTGTCGTTATTGGCTAATTGCTTACCTCTCTTAACTATGATCCGACACCCGCAATTCAAACAGTTCCAAATTAACTTTGAACTGTTCGGTAAGATATGCATTATACATTGTTCACTGGTCTCTCAGGGCCCATGGGTTGATGTACCATTTATGCCCGAAGGTCCCAGTGAACATAAACAAACATCGAGGGTACATCAACCCATGTCCCCCTTGTGACCAGTGAACAACTTATAATGTATAGTCTTACATTTGCGTATAATCTTAGTGGGTTTGTACATGATATGGGAGAAACCCAGAATTGATGCTGATCTTATGTTGTGTGCAATCCACCATTATACCAATGACACAGAGCATGTGCAATCCACTTACATAAGTGTGACAGGTAGAACTGGGTTCGTACAGATTATCACTTTAAATTTCAGGCCTCTTTAGGGGCTGTTTATAACCTTTTATAACCCAAAACAACAATTTTAAGGAACTATAGAGACACACATAACACACAAGTAGTTGTATACACACAAGGTTGGTCAAATGCGAGGCCAACCATCCAAGGGAAATAACTCTTAGCTATGTCGCTGCTTTGGAAAAGTTTTTCTTTGTGATTGAGATTAATCAACACCTACTGTCATTGCAAGATATTTATACTATGTATTAGTTTCCTGTGAAACTTGACATGTTTTGCTAAACATAGGACCTTCTTAGGGCAAATCACTGGCAATTACAGCCTATTCAAAGCTAAAATGAATTCAGACCCATTTTAGGGTAAATGAACCCTGTAGAATGTTCAACCCACCTTCATTCCAGTGAGAGGCAGAATGTTGTTGAGTCTGTAGCCACCGGTGACTGGGGTGGTATACAGCAGGACATCGTTGAACTGGAAGGGAAAAATGCACATATATTCACTTGGCCACCTACAAATGTCCTGAGTCCAGTCCTCAAAGGGTTAATGTCAACAGATGCTATTAATACTACTGTTCTCGCACCACACTACAGAGAACCTATACTCACAGTATCTAATGTATACACCCTCCTGAATAAAACTCAGATCAACAGGAAAAGTGTATCGCTTCAGTAATGCTAAAGCCACCTAGTGGAAAAGGTCAGCATAAAGAAGTCTGTACATTCATCCTAATTACTCATAATAAACTGGTAACAGGGATCAAATTCAAAATGCACAGAGACCTCTTGAGCTGAGGGAAAAGGCTTGATTGTAGCCAAACTTAATCCTTCCTGCATCACTTAGATCATTATACCTTTCAATGTCACTATATAGGATTTCTTTGATGGGCATTTTAGAAGTTGAGGTGATGAAGAATGATGATAATTTTATGGATAAAGAATATAGAAGTTGAATATCCATAAAATGATCATCATTGTTCTTAATATATAGGACTGTACAAAATAAAAGGTAACAATTGAACCTGATGTACAGTAAGTTAAACACCAACTGACAGACATAATGAACTTTTTTTGGTCTCAGGCAATTGCTGTAGGTTTTAGTCATGATGAGTATATCAAACGACGGAAGTACCCTGGTATTATAACTAGTGGTCCCTGTGAGTTTGTTATAGCTGTAGTTTATGTATAATAAACTAAGATTAGTGGTCCCTTTGAGTCCTTATTAACAATAGCTTACTGTTCTCTCTCTAAATGGAAACTTAAATAAGGGGAGATAAATCTGTAGTTCAACAAGCATCCTATACATATTGCCAGGTAAGCAAGGTGTTTCAACAAACCAGGTAAAACATCCGCGGCTGCAGCTCCTTCCTTGACGACTTCTGCAGCTCCCCGTGCTTGATGAGATTCTGAAACATCATCCCCACACTCATTCTTTGTCAGTCTACCATGTGATCTTCATCAGGGAGGACCACTGTTCAGACCATTCGTAACTACTAGTGTCATTCCGGCAAGCCGGATGGCGTCTCGTACCCTCTTGTGGCCTTGTTTACGACTCGGCCCTGTCTAAGCGCAAACGGGCATGGAGATGAAAATAGTTTAGTACCATACCAAGGAAAGATAACTCTGAATTTCCACACATGGCTCCTGGAATATCCTATATCCCGTGGGCAAAACAGCAATACAGTCATTTCCTTTGTAAATATGTTTCAGTGTTTAAAGTTTCTGATCCTTTGGCTCAAAGTTTAAGTTTAAATTGTGCTTTGCATAGTTTAGCGAAGTTTCAAACTTCAAACTTCAACGGTGCCGCCATTTTCATGCTTCGAAATGCGTTTTACTATGCGCGAATTGATTGGTTGGCCACGGTTCTTGGCAATAATGGTGTACGATAGGGGTACGGGTCTTCTTGTAGGTCACGGAAAGAGGCGAGTTGTTATGAATGCTGTTCAGACCTATGTCATGCCTAGCATCAGATGTGCCGATAAAGACACTTACATTTGTCTATATGATTCAACAATGATTGTTTTGTTTAGTTAGTTTCATATTCCAGTCAGAAACAAATATTTACATTTGAATGGAAAAGAAGCCCAAGTCATATGGGAGAATCAGAACTTGAGAATTTCAGTTTTGGAAGGAAGAAAATGGAGACGTCTATCTTGTTGAAATGAGGTTGGAAAAAGATACAGTTTCTCAGTTTGGTATCCATTAGTGTGGGAATTGGTTAAAATCTCATAATTGATGATTGGTTCATTACAGAGCTGCAGATAACCTTTTGGGTCATTGAGTTATGTTCTCGCTTGTGGTCATCTCAATTGGGTATCCTAATTTTCCTTTGAGTAACCAAATAAATTGTATCCACCTCACTCAAACTCAATTGGGTATTTTGTCATTTTCCATTAATTTTAAAATATAATAAAGTTTAAATGTTAGTGTTTGTTATACATATTTGATCTGTAATATGAGAAACAATAAGAAAGACTGCAAGTTGCCAAGTTCATGTCCTAAAACAGAACCTCTCAATATACCTTAGGTATTTTATCTATCCACCGGTACACAAGTTAAGATTTGACACTTTTGTGTGTACGCATGTAACATCACATCTATTGAGTATTTACAAAAATTCAAGCGTATTTGTACGCAATAGACTTATAGGAATTGAGTTTTCACATAAATATTTGCGTAATTTACGCAGATACGCAGCTTATCTGTACCTCTGCATTACAACCAATCAATCATTGAAAATAATTGGTAAGCGTCATTTATTAAACTGCCCTGGTTATGTTTCTCAATGCACAAACATAAAGAAATAACATGTAGTTCTTTCTGGGTTTTTTTTTGCTGATGTGTTAGGAACATAAATTACCTGGACTCCTCCAGATAATTTCAATCATGACTTGGAACGAGTTAGTGGTGCCTATGAAACGTAACAGACAAAACCAACCTTGTGAAAAATATTGTTAATGCAAACAAGTGTTCCAAAATTGTTTGTGTTCGATTATGAGAAAACATGATCGATTGCTTGGTCGTTTAGTCATTGCAACCAATCTTCGATTATTTCAATTAATCGGACCACCACTAGTATCCATGGTAACAAGATGCTGAGGTACTCACTCTGCCCGGCTGGATCACCTCAAACTGACCAATCAGAGAGTGCTGTATCTCCAGCAGCTTCTGTACCGTGTCCTGAAAGAAGATCACGAGTCTGGATGAGGGCAAGCTGCTCCATAAAGATTGCCAAGGCAAGTAATCTATGTCTACTCTCAGAGAGTACAGTCTTGTATGTTTTATACAGCAAGATCAAAACCTAAGATTATCATCCTCAACAAAATATATGATGGTGAGTGAGTGAGTTACTTCATATGCAATGTTTAGCAATATTCCAGCAATATCAGGGTGGGGACACTAGAAATGGGCTTCAGCCATTGTATCCATGTGGGGAATCGAACCCGGGTCTTCAGCATGATGAGTGAATGCTCTGATCACCAGGCTATCCGACCGACCCCCCTAAGATGATAAACATAGGCAGATATGTTCCATTTTGTCAAATCATCAAGACATTCTGATGGCAATGTTATTCTTAACAAACTACAAAATGATGACCATCACATAAAGTTCAAGTCACATTTGCTCTAATGGTAAAGACATATTTATCATAGCTATAGTTGTTGGACATGATCACTGTAACATTGTGTGAGCTGCACCAATGGCCATCTAGCTGTATCAGAACCTGTATGTACCCCATGTCTCATGCTCTCGTTGGCATGGTCGGCCACCTCACTGACAATAGTTAGGGCAACTGGAAGGAAAACATCCCAGCATTAACAAAAGATAGCAAAAAAACAAACAATCAAATAGTCACACCGATAAAACTAAATATTTAAAAGGCAAAGAAATCAGTGTGTGTGTGTGTGTGTGTGTGTGTGTGTGTGTGTGTGTGTGTGTGCACACGCGCGCGTGTGCATGCGTGCGTGTGCGCCGCGTGCATGAGCATCTGTGTGTGCATATTTGTGCTTACTGTCCAATGATGAACAATTATTCTAGCCATGTGACAAGGACATCGAAATAATCCAACTTGACAATGAAATCCAATGATTGATGTTATGAACACACCATCATCAAGGCAAGATTACAAGACAACCAATCCATTAATGTTGCAACTTGCAACTTGCGACCAGCAACCTGTGAACCCAGTCTAACCCAGAAAACCCATGGTGGCTATTGTATTTGTACACAGTCTGTAGAGCCACCTCCTACTAAGTTACAGCCTACCTTCAGTGTGCTTGTAGTCCGGAGAATCTATGGGCAGGTTTTTCAAGTAGTCTGAAATATATCAACATGATATGTTACATGAGTACAATCCTATTCAGTGTTTTTACTGCAAGCATTCATGTAATACTTGTGATGCCCTTGAAAGTTTGTTTGCTTCTTGGTGCACTCAGCAATATTCCAGCTATACTACTGCCAGAAATATTCTGGATCAGACAAACTAGAGGTTGATAACATGAACAACTGCAATCACCCAATGCCCATTTGCACAAAAGTGAGTTGAACGCTACAACTATCTCAAATCTATGTTAGAGTGTGTGAGTAGCGATCATAATAGAGCTGATATCACTTTGTGCAAGAATATATCTCCTTCCCGGCCACACAATCCACATAGTTGCCTTTCAACATGACAAGCCTAAGGTACTGGAGACATTCAGAACTAAAAAAAATTCTAGTGAATTTATCAATAATGTGCAGATTTGCAAGCATTGATCAATCACAGGGCTTACTTCGACCACACCCCCATTTTGAGCGGACATATTGTCATCCATTTGTGTCAAGATCGTTTCATTGAGGGTCAAAATTGGGTTTCGATCGACTTGCAGAAATAACAATAAAGAATTGGTAGGTGTCATAAGTGGTGATTGATAGGCCACTCATCCATGATTAGGTTTACATTAAGTTTTAATCGATTGTATGTGATGGTAGCGTAGCGATCGGCAAAGCAGGCAGGTAGGGTACACCGAAGTGTCCGGCCTTGTCATAATGTATTGTACTGTGTCATTTCGAGTCAGTGATCATCTCAAATGTTTAATGTTTTTTTAACATTTTTAATCCTTACAAAGACTCAAGGGCCTGTGACTGGGCCCACATACAAAACTTCACCTGTTAATGTGATACGATATTTTCGAAGCAGCAAAGTGTGTTAAACAGAAAATGACCAACGCATACCGGAAGTCTGGTTTCCACATTCATCAAGTGCAGTAACATGAACAGTAGTTTACTCAAAAAGATGTAATTTTTCAAGTAAAATTGATATTTTTATACTTATCCTGACTCATGATCTTTTGCTTATCTCCCTTTTCTTTGCGAATGGTAGTGGAACACTTGAATCCCTTGAAGTTCCCGAAGAGGATCTGCTGTGCAATCCAACGGGGAGGTCGGGAGGGCTTGACCTCATGAGTCAGGATATGTATAAACATATCAATTTTACTTGAAAAATTACATATTTTTTCTTATCCTGACACATGATCTTTTGCTTATAGAATCCGACGGATTGGTGGTGGGTCAGGCCACTTACTGGATTCATCAGCTGTCCTTAGATACGTCCTGTATCCCCCCCCCATGGGAACTGCGTAGCGGCATTTCTGAGATCCTATTCTTCCAACTTCCGTTATAACTCAGGGGAACCACTTCTTATCTTACTTCCATCTTAGACCAGTTGAATTATCTTGATTCATGTGGCTTCAGATAAACTAGTATCTTCTTATTACTAGATATCTTATAACAACCCATAGATTATGATAAGATCTTGATCATAAATGAGTTGCAACCCCTTCACGTACAGGTAAGATCTTTACCCGTACAGGATCTTTAATCACTCATGCTAGCCTGTCCTAGACTGTGCGCATGGACTTTCAAACTAATACTTTTCTTTAGTAAAAGTTATCAACAAGTCAACGTGATAAAGGGTGAGATTTTCCAACTCAGCGCGCCTTTGTGGAGCCGTTAGTAGCTGTGCTAAAACGAGAGGCCCAAATTGGTGAATGCCTGAGACGTCTTCAGTGGCTATGTCTCGGAGGTAGTGGTTGGCAAACACTGTGTCTGACTTCTAAAAGCAGCCCTCCATAATTGCTGATATAGAGCAATTTCAATGCAGAGCTAGTGTTGACGCCAATGCTCTGACTTTATGTGGTTTTTGGAGGTTCTAGTCCTGCTGCTTTATAGGCTCTCAATATGACTGCTCTCATCCAGAACGATATCGTCCTTCTTGAGACTTCTGCTGATGTCTCTGTGGATAATGGGATGAATAGGTGCTTGAATTTTCGTCTCCTTGTCTTAGTCTTTGAAGATATATCTTCAGGGCTCTGACTGGACATAAGGATAGGTGCTCTATATCCTCTGGTCCGAGGATTGTAGATAGCCCTGGTACGCATCATTGTAGATGAGTAGGTTCGGCCAATCTGGAAACTTGATTGTTGGACTTCCAAGATCTTCTATTAGGTCTAGGAACCATACTCTCGCTGGCCAGTATGGCGCGACCAAGGTCAGCTGTAGCGCCTGTGTCTGTTTGATCTTCAGCAGTACTTTCAGTAGTAATATCAGTGGTGGAAACGCATAAGCGTTTAGTCCTTCCCATGATATGTTCAGTGCATCTGTTGCCCAGGCTTGAGGATCTGGAACTGGTGAGACAAACGTCTGTAATTGTTTGTTGAACCTCGTGGCAAACAGGTCTATGCATGGGGATCCTATTTCCCTTCCGATGAGCTGAAATGCTTCTGGATGGAGTATCCATTCCGTAGGTGACGGGTGCAGTGGTCGGGAGAGAGCGTCTGCAAGCACGTTCTTGGCTCCGGGTATGTGACGCGCCTTATCCAGATGTTTGCCTCCTCCGTGATGTCAAACAACTGGAATGTGAGCTGTAGTAGGCTTGGTGATCTTGTAGATCCTTGCCGATTTATGGAGAATGCCACTGTAGAGTTGTCTGTGTGGACCATCAGCATTCTGTTGATCAGCGAGCTCGACCGTAGTTGTAAGGCGTTGAACACAGCTTTCATCTCCAGCAGATTGATGTGAAGATGCTGCTCTGTTTGGACCACTTCCTTGATGCAACTTGATTGTTGAGATGTGCACCCCAACCTTGTATCGATGCGTCTACGTAGAGATGTGTTTCGAAGGCCGGCTCTTGTAAATAGGTCCCTCCACAGACGCTCAACCTGTGGGTCCACAAAAGTAGGTACCTCTTAAGATTGTCTGGCAGCAAGATAGGGTCGACGCTGTCCAGATGTTTTGTCAGGAACCGTTGCAGCGGCCTTAGTTGTAATCTTCCTGTGCGAGTCAAGTCCTGCGCCGAGGATAGTAGACCGAGTAGACATTGCCATGTTCGTAGTGTTAACGGAGAGAAGACTGCTTGTGGAATCATGGCTTGTATGTTGACCCAATGATCTTCTGGGACCACAATTCGATTCTGTGTTGTGATCATTCTTATTCCCAGCAATTGAAGATCTTGTTTGATTCTAACTCCAACTTCATCAGGTTCATTAGCCATCCTAGCTGCGAGAGCAACTTAATTGTGAAGTTCAGCTGCTGTCTGAGTTGATTGGCACTTTGAAGAACCTGTGTGCCGTCGTCCAGATAACCGGCACTGCATTGACCTTGATGCTGCAGATAGGTGCCGATAGGCTTGGTTATTCGTATGAATAATCATAGAGCCGACAATATTCCAAACGGTAGGACGTTCCATTGGAAGTGCTACCCTCTGATTGCAGTGATGATACATCATTCTTCCCCTTATACACGCAGGCGATCTGTGTTGACATCGAAGCATTGTCGATTTATAGCAAGGGTGGCTCCAGTGTAGCATCGCAAGGGACAGGTACTCATACCGACTTTTATCAGTGACAAATTCCAAAATGAACATCGTTTATCCTGCTGTCAAAGCTAGACATCTATTAGAATCCCATGATGATGACAGGCCGTAGTTGTATACTGTTTCCAAGGCTGCCGGTGAAGTATTCCCCCGTACCACGGGTTTGTTTACAAATCAGAAAACATGCTGGAGCCTGCTCTGTCAATGGGAAGCGTTGTCTGATGTGGACCAATCAGCTTCCAAGCATGACGTCACCGGTGTTGTAGCAAGTTGGCCTCCGTAAAATCTGATGCAATTTATGTCATCTCAAGTCACGGCTGATAAAACAGGAGATCAGCCTGCAAACCGTATGTTATAAATCACGTGTTCCCATTGTGGATGATATAAGCCAGGATGACGAAGGAGTCTGTCGAGACGTGTCTGTATGGATCTTGAAGAAATACCGATGTTGAATCTAGTTGATAATATATATAATCCTAATCCCCACGCTGAGTGACGAGTGTTAATAATATCATCTGTACGTCTGTTCAAGGATACTTGAAGGCGTTGTTAACCTTAAGCCCTTTACAAAGGTCACCTTGAGGTTCTCCAGTACTTGAGATATCGGCTTCATAGGTGATATCATATTGGAGTCAAAGTCATCAGCGTATATGCAGTATGTCTCTGTTGGGTTGGAGTGAGTGAGTGAACGACAATATCCGCAGGCCATCTGCTACCCGGTATAAGACCTCAGCATCCGTATAGATGAAGTGATTCCTTTCATCAAGTAGGTTGTCGTCCGAAACTGAACCTATACAGGTATAAGGTTCGTGCAGGTTGTAGAGTTGTGCAGGCTGTAACTGTAGAGATCGCACATTTTGTAGTTCTGTGTGTTGAGTTTAAACACTGAAAAAACCATCCGTATTCATCATTGCTTCGTTTTATTCAGCGTATGGTAATAGAGTCAACGTCAACATCCTGCCTGTTGATGTAAGGGTTTGTTAACCCTAGGGTTCGCGAACCCTGTAGATGTCTGCGTTGCTGTAATCTGCCTGTAGATCTGAGAGTTCTCGAACCTTGTAGATGTCTGTAGCTTTCTCAAAGCTGTGCGTAGGTTAGAAGGTGTCTTGGATATATGTTCAATCGGAGGAATAGTCACTGAGTTAAAGTCGTCATTACGCATCTTATAAGTGTCGACTGCATCTATATCCTTAGAAGGAGACTCCAAGTTCAAACCATTGGCTATCCAATCTGTAACCTCTGAGTCCGGGAAGACGAAGTCTGGTTATTCATCAGTTATCTCCTGATCAGTAGAGCTATGTCTCTGCGAATCATCCTTCTGCGAACCTGTATCCCTTCTCGAACCTCCATCATCCTTTCGCGAACTGAAGATTCCTCCCTTCGCGAACGTCTATCTTGAGAGTCCTCTCTTTGCGAACCTCTATCTGTGGATTCATCTCTTCGCGAACCTCTTTGATGTGAGCCTGCTCTTCGCGAACCTCTCTCGCAAGATGTATCCCTGCGCGAACCTCTGTGATATGAGCCTTCTCTTCGCGAACCTGTCTCGTGATTAGTGATGTCTCGTCTGTGAGATATATGAGATCTTGATCTAGAACGGCTATGTGCAGGAGATGAATCCTTCAATGTTCTCGAACGTTGAGGGTTCGCAGATGTAGAACGGTGAGTAGGCATCTCATCTCTTCTATCCTCCTCCAAGATGATAAAGTCGTCAGACTGTGGAGACCTTCGCAAAGGTGTACGTTCGCCAACGTAGTCTTGAGACGTAGTTCTATGTGGAGTAGGTTCACACAGGTCCGTAGGTTCGCGCAGGTCCGTAGGTTTGCGCACGTTGTCAGTAGATGAGAGGCTTCGCCGAGCCTTCGCTTCTTCCTCGAACCTCCGTTCCATCATAGCCATCATCTGGTTGGTGAATTGTCTCATAATTTCACCCAGATCAAGTTCTGCATTGATTGAAGCTGCTGCAGCAAAGAAGAAGCATTCGCGAACGCTGATGAGTTGTGTGCCTCAACTTCACTCCGTTGAGAAGTTGGTGGTAGTTCGTCAAACAGCTGGCCTGCTGTGACCGTTGCAGGAGACGATATAGTAGTCGTGGAAGTCGATTGAGTAGGTACTTCGGGTGGAAGTCGATCTCGTAGGTACTTCGGGTAGAAGTAACGGGGTATCATAAAAAAACGTCTTCTTCATGCGGAGGTAATATCTCTTCGTTGAAGGATTTCTGATGCGTTGACTTACTAGGCCGCGTAGATTTACCCTCCGATCTGGTAACAGATGCTTTCTTCTGCGACGTAGAAGAAGACAACTTATTTTTCTTAGCTTGAGTCGGAGTCAACTGCATTGTAGCCGATCTCCCCTTGGCCCCCGTACCAGCAGACTGCCCCTGCAACGTACTCAACATAGCACCAGTATTATGAATCTCCAGCAGTAGCAATCAACATACGGTTTGCAGGCTGATCTCCTGTTTTATCAGCCGTGACTTGAGATGACTTCCTCACCCGATTCCATGGCACGTCTATAGATATAAGACAAATATTGATTAAATTGTAGATTTGATAAATGAACACAATAAATACAACGCAAGCTGGAAGAACATAGTTTTATGCGCTAAAGGCATTTGGGTGAGGATCAGCCACGGATAACCTGTGCCTGCAAACACTGCAAGATTTCATGAAATGTAAACAAAGTTACATAACGATGAAATTATGACACAAATACAAATAATTTTTACAATTTTTTTACATATAATACATAGTAGTTATTGCCAAATCCATACACAGCGTAATTTTGAAGAATAGGACCTAAATAAAAAGGATATAATGCCGTATACGGGACTCCAGTGCTCGCCCAACCATCCACTTGGGCGAAAAGGGAGAGGGTGACAAGTAAGTCTGGTCACATGACTGTTTACGCGTGAAAAGGGAGGAAACTTGTGGGTGAGTGTATTTTTACGTCCGCTTCGGGAACTTCAAGGGATTCAAGTGTTCCACTACCATTCGCAAGGAAAAGGGAGATAAGCAAAAGATCATGAGTCAGGATAAGAAAAATAATATAACTCTAGATCCAGTTTCAGAAAGCAACCACAGTGTTTGGATCACCTCACTGTACAATCACTTTGTGGAACCCATCCTTCCCTGCCTTTGTACAAGGGGATCTTATCCCTAAGGTGATTGTCACTCCCATACCTTAATGAAGACATTCATCAGGTGTAGTTCTAAGTTGTTTTCCACAAAGACGCTCTTGTAAGTGACTCTTGGGTCAATGTATGGATAAACAATTGTTTTAGCAAACAGACATATAGGGCATATTTATGCGGATTCTTATCAGTGTATAATACTAAATTTCTGTGGTGCTTCACACAGAACATACCTTGCAGAAGGAGTTTGTACTGGGGTATCCTCTGGATGGGTTTGAGCATGTAGTGTTTGAGTGCCAGACTGGCACAGCGGGATGATACCTGTCAACATCAAGGAGTGAGTGAGTTGAGTTTAATGACACAGGTCACAGTGACATAGAAATACCACAGGTCACAGTGACATAGACCCAGGTCACACCAAGTTATTGTGGCTTTCTCATTCTAACGAGGTACCCATTCACAGCTGGGTGGACTGGGACACGACTGACTGACTGACTGAGTTTAGTTTTACGCCGCTTTTAGCAATATTCCAGCAATATCACGGCGGGGACACCAGAAATGGGCTTAACACATTGTGCCCATGTGGGGAATCGAACCCGGGCCTTCGGTGTGACGAGCCAACGCTTTAACCACTAGGCTACCCCACCGCCCCGACTGGGACACGAAGTCACAGTACTTTGTCCAAGCTCACTGCACGTTGCTGTATCCGCAACTGGGTGTTTGCATGTATTCATGTGGCCACCATCTGGTCATATACCAACCGATGCATGGATTCTTTTAAGTGCACAGGGTTGTGTACTGTACACTAGGGGTCGTGACAACACTGAAAGAGTCTGCACACAAAGTTGACTCCAAGGTTTTAACACCCGGTCACAGGTCGGCTCGATCCCGACACCTTAACCTCGCTGGATCACTAGCCTGGCGCCTTAGACAGCTCGCCCACCACGTCCCTAAAGTGAACACCATGAAGGAACCAGGTGTCAGAGAACCATCATAACATCATTAACATCATACTGTACCATCTCAATTTGTGTCACATGTACTGAGAACATACTATTTCCCTGCATTAGCAAAATGTTTTCACTAAGTGTCATTATAAAAAGCAAGATTAAATCATTTCAGCACCAATATAAACAGATGAACACCAAACAGTAATTAATAATAATAATAAACAGGATAACAGTGTATTTCAACTTGAGAAAATGATCAACTGTAAATGTAAGAATGTTTAAACCAAACAACTTCAATGTGAAATCTAAAATGTCAGAGTTATCTCCCTTGAGCCATTTCTCAAAGAACGTGTCAAGTCCTACCTCAAATTCCTTGACAATACGCTGAAATTCAGGATATCGTTTACATGACTCCTCGAACATGGCTGTGGCATTTTCAAAGTTGCGAATGTATGAGGAGTAGAGCTTGAGAAACGGACCTTTCTTCACAAATATGTCTGCAACCTTAGGGTTTTCCTTCCTGTTGACAAACAAGTGCAAATATACCGTCGACTGTGTGTATAACTACCGAAAGTATAATGTAAAGGGATGTCTTCCTTCCCTTGTTTGGTATAATGTCAAAAAATACAATGTTTTGGACATAATAAATGGTAAAAATGTTAAGGAATGAACGCCTTATAGTATTTCAATTTGTGTAACTTGTTCTGTCACCAAACTGTACTTCGTAACATGGTGTATGTTAGTATTAACAATTCTGTAAATGTTCATGATCTTGAAACGTTTACAATAGTGTATTCTATCCTGACTGAAGACACTGTATTTATTGTGGACATAAACTCTACCAACATAGCATATGAATATGTAAATTGACATGTTTAAATGTTTCCAGTCATTGTGAGCAGTCTTTCTTTTGCGGCTATATCTATTTCTAAACAGTAATTGGCTATCTCTAAAGAGAATGAAGTCAAACTTTATTATGTCAAACTCAAGGTTGTCTCGGATGAAGAATTCGGTCTCCTTTAGTCATCATTTTGCAGTTGTGTAAAACCACTGATTACTCCAAGTACTCAACTCTGATTCAACAGTGTGTCTCAGTCTCTGTTCATCATGGCTTCATTTCCACGTTTACTTCCACAGATATCATCATTATCACAATCATGTGTAAACACATATATATTTCCTTATGTATTTCCCCAAGTGGTAATAGTTTCACATTTGTTATAGTCTGTTTGCGGTGAAAACGTACCGATGAATTTCACTTTAAACAAAAAAGTAAATCAAATATTTCCTCAGAATTTTACCTTGCCATTTGAAAATTTAAATCTCAGAATTTTATTCAACTTGGTATGAAAGTTGTTTAACAAACGATCATAGTTTCAAATCGGTATAATTGGTTTGTATTACAAGGGGGTATGCACATCAAATGAAATAAATGATCAAGTAGGGTTGGTCTAAGTTAACGCTCATCACGTACCGCACGTGCATTTGTTTCACTGTTCCAACTATTGCGCTTACCCCCTTGTAATACAAACCAATATAAGCCATTTGAAACTATGATCGTTTGTTAAACAACTTTTTTCATAAGTTGAATAAAAATCTAAGATTTAAATGTTCAATTGGCAAGGTAGAATTATGAGGATTCGCAATCTTAATTTCACTTTTTTTCAATTTACATTTTTGTTTAAAGTGCAATTCACCGGTACGTTTTCACTGCAAACAGACTATATACATTTAATTGTTTTCAATGCAGTTCCCACTAGTCAGTTCTTTGTGATCACTAGATCAAAGCCTCACTGAACATGGAGATAAGGATAAATATGAGATAGGAGCACAAAAACTAGCCCACAATCAAATCTAGTTTACATGACCCAGATAAAAGCAATGGCACAATAGGCAGTTCCTTCCTTCCTCCAATCATTCATGCAGTTACCAGTGCTCTATCCGCTCGGTCAGGTCTTTAAGGAGGTCTTCATTGAAGTTGTGCAGCTGAGGCAGATAGTCCAGAATCTTGTTCAGCATCTCGCTCGGAATCACCGCGTGATCCACTTTCTCCGCCGCCTTGGTCACGTGGTTACGGAAGTCCTGAACAATGGATGAATCTTTTTACCCCTTCATTGTGTAGTTGTATCAATGTCAGCGGTCATAATTGAGTCAGAGTTGGGAATGTGGATGGCAAAGTAGTTTGACACGATACAGAAATGTGCATACAATACTGACAAATGTGTAGAATGTATTGAGAAACACTTATACATTATGTACCCTTGGACACACAATAATATTCAGTGTTCAAAATTTGTGACAAGAAATATAAACTTCATGTAATTATATTTATCATTAAACCTTACAGTACAGTCTGCTAAACCATTTTATTACCTTACACGTTAGGACCCTCGGAATTAGCAAGTGGGGTTCCTGTGTTCCCTTAATATTGTTGGTCAAGGTAAAATTACTGAAAGTGTGGGTACACTACTGAAAAGAAACTATGAATCCCCCAATCTATTCATTTATTCAATTTATGATATTTAACTTTAGTTCTACGACAAGGACCGTTCCTGATGAATTTCGAACACTGGGCACTAAGTGTCCATAAGACAAAAATCCCAAGTGAATGAATGAGCATATGTTTAACTTGCTTTTAGCAATATTCTTGTTGTATCATAACATGACCACTTAAATTAGGCATTACACATTGTGCCCAGGTGTAATTTACTGTTAGGTAGTTAAAACACACTTTTGAACAGGATATCAAGTATGATTAACAATGATTGATCCAATTGGTGTGGCAAATGTTTCTTCTGATTTTCTTCTTCAACTACCAACGGCTTGAGAATCTTATTTAACCTGTGTTTGAATCAACCTTTCAAGGTAAAATTGAGTTCCCATGAACGTAAATTTCAACAAATAAGCTCTGGCCTGCTTGGTACTCACTATGTTGAGGAGCTTCAAGACATCCACAAACACCTCCTCAGATTTCTTGATCTCCTCTGCGATGTAGAAAACCTTCCGAGCCCTCTTTAATTTCTGAAAAAAACAAATAAATATACCTTGCTGATTCATTTTCCCGGAACACAAAAACAAGGCAGACTTTAATTACTCAGGAAATATTTCAGGTTAAAGTTTGTTTGTATGCTGTTGACTTCAAACTCAACAATATTCCAGCTATACGGTCTGTATATGATTAAGACCGGACAATCCAGTGATCAACAGCATGAGCATTAATCGACACAGTTGGATACGAGACTAGTATCAACCAAGTCAGTGAGTCTGACAACAGGATTTCATGTTAAAGTTTGTTAGTTTGTTGTTTAACACTGAACTCAGCAATATTCCAGCTACATGGTGTCAGTAAATAATCAAGTCCGGACCAGACAATCCAGTGATCAACAGCATGAGCATTGATCTATGCAGTTGGATATGATTGAATGTGTCAACTAAGTCAGCGAGCCTGACCACCCGATCTCGTTAGTTGCCTCTTACGACAAGCATGGGATACTGAAGACCATAATTTTGTGCATAATTTTAAGGAGGACTGTACTCTTAAGCTAAACATATTACTGTAGAAGATGCTTATGAGACACTTGTTATAGTCTTCTCATTGACTTGAGATTCAAACATCCACTACCACACTGACATGGAAACAAAAGAAAGATGCATAGACTGCATATTTGAAAATCCAGTTCATCCTTGATCACAACAAAAAATTGTGACAACCTTGACCTCGTAAATAACAAGTGCTTACCTGATAGGTAGCATCTTCTTGATCCTCGTCTGAGTCAGAGCTAATATCTTGCCCCACCACGTTAGAGAAGTTGTCTCCTGACCCACTGGAGTTGGTGCTCAACTGACTGGTATCACTGACCGGCCTTGACCTCTGCCACTTCGGGGTTGAGACATCGAGGTGATCTGAATGTTCCTCTCTGGTGCTGGAGAGAAGACTCTGATTGCCATCACTGGAGCAGCTGAGATTGTCTGTAGTGTCCTTTCTGGGCACATCTGCTCCATCAGGAACATCAGCATCCTGTTTGTCCCTGAAGCTGTCTGGTTTATTCTCCCCTGCAGCAACATCTCCATCTTCCTCAGGCTTGACCGATGCTGTTGAGTGTCGGTAGCTCCTGGGGGGAAGTGACGGAGGAGGGGTCACCTCCTTCACAGGAGAAGATCTCTCTGAAGGAGGATGTTCACCAATCTCATGGTAATCATGATCAAAGGAATCATCTTTGTCTGAGGAAGTTTCAACAAATTCCTTCACATCACATGTTTTCTTTGAGTCGGAAATTTCAATCTTTCTATACTGCTTTGAGGTTCGGTGATCTGAGTCAGCCGGCTTGTTTTGTACTGACGACTTTTCTAACGAACCACTCTGATCCAATGACTTGGTCTTTACTGCTGGAGGGTGACCAGGAGGAGGAGGGGGTGCATCTCGCTTTGGCCGGGTGCGAGATCGGACTCGGGGTGGTTTAGCAAAAGGTGCTTGTGAACCTGGTGGAATCGATGTCCTTGCTGGCACAGGTGGCATCGACTTATCCTGTTTCACTTCCCCTTGAAGCTGTTGGACTATTTCTGACTCCTCCATGGAAACACATCTGACACTGTTTCTGGGTGGTAGTGGTGGAGGAGCATCACCTGGACTGAAGGACTGATGCCTCACTGGAACATTTGGCCTGGAAGGGTCAATTTCTGGGGAGTCCATCTTTTCTACCAGGCCTAACATCCCGCTGACATCAGACTGGCTACGGCCAAATCGTGACAGGTTAGTCCTCTTTGGTTTGGGTGGACATGGTTTTTTGAAAGAAGCTGCTTTGTTTCCACTTGAATCATTATCCTTCAGTACAACAGGCTGGTCAAAACTTAAATGTTTAAGGAGCTGCGATGCCGCGCGGCGTGGTCGTGGAGGCCGGAGAGGGGTTGAAGGACTAGATTCCGACTTGACTGAGTCACTTGAACCTCGTCTTTCTAAAGAATTGGTAGACTTCCTTACTTCAGAGCATACGTTTTGTTCATTATTAACATCATTCAAGACTTTTGGTTTTTCAGCCAAAACACCACTCTCTCCAAAGTTTTTGCTTAAGAGTGCCTCAATTTCCTTCAACATTTCACATGTGTTTTCATTTGAAGGATCATCCTCATCACTTCTGGAAACCTTTGCAGGACTGGTAACTTTATCACAAGAATCTTCTGGCACATTCTCAACAGTAATACTTTTTTCCCGTTCCATCTCAGCTGGCTCTGATGTACTTTTAGAACTAGTCCTCACACAAACACTTCCTTCTTTCCCACTCTTATCACTAGAAAGACTACGGTTGAGTCCTGTGTTATGGGTAGGTGTATGTGGACCTTTACCATTCATGCCAATATATTGAGGACTTTGTGCAGTTTCTGTACTTTGAGATGGAGTCTGAGCTGTAAGGTTTTCAACCTCCCCAGTAGCATCCGGAGTGAGCCTTCGTCAGTATGTACGGTTGATGAGCTGAGATTACTTTCAGTTGACTTGTCTGATGCTGGTGATGTTAGCTCCGATGGTGTATGTTCTAATGATGATTTCACTTGTGAACCTTCTGACAATTCTTTGTTTGGTGAAACCTGATCCAAGTTTTCCATGGAAAGCAAGCGTTTCCTGGGTTTGGGTGCAGGTCTTGGTACAGGTCGTGGACTGGGTTTAGGACTCGGCTTGGGACTGAGTTTGGGACCCATTTTCTTTTGGCCATTGGGTACAGGTTGTGGACTTGTTGGTTCTTGTGGTAACACTTCAGCACACTTTCCATCTGTGTCAGCAGATTGTCTGTCTGTTTTTGTTGCATTTCCTGTAACACAGTTTGTTGCTGCCTGTACAGCTGCTTCCTCAGACACAGCTGCTTCGGGAACAGCTGCTGCTTCAGGCACAACTGCTTCCTCAGACACAGCTGCATGTTCAGACGCAGCTGCTGTTGGAGAAGAAACATACCATCTACTTCTACCATCACACACATCATTCAAAACAGGAATTGAGTTCACTTGGTTAGGACTACTGTTAGATGACCTCAAGCTCCGACGTTTGGTGGCTTTTGGAGGGGTTTTTGAGTTTTTGGTTGGCACAACAGAAACATGTTCAGACTTGTCATCACTTGAGGACGTTACAGTGCTTGTGCTGGGGGTCTGAGCAGGCAAGGAGGGCACGGTGTTGGAGGGAGGTGCGTTCTCATCAGTCGGAGACTGATCAACATAGAACAAGCTCTTTCCGGCAGCGTACAGACCAAGTTCAGCTACTGTACGCTTGGCTGATTTAGTTTTTCTTTTGTGCAATTTGTTGTCCTGGGAGGTGAGGGCGGTTTGATGTGAGCTGGACAAATCATCAGGTGAGCAGGCAGCATGCTTGGGGGTCGTGGGTACTTGGGGGTCAGGGGAACACGACAAACCTAGAAACGCAAGCAGTGCACATCAGCTTTGTAATCATTCACAAAATACACAGTTATTCTCTGGAGGACTTTCAAACAAAGGGTGTACTTTTCATTCTTAAAGAGTGCCAGTCTGTATTTTCATTCATGGGACGGACATATGAGGCCCATGGTCTAAGGTGCTGTGATTTAATGTGCATAGTTGCCTCCCCGAACCATAACAGGATCTGCTATCTGGATTACAAAAGTGACATGCCTTGAGTTTGACTAACGTGTAATAAAACACTTTATTAAAGTTTTTAATTGCAGTAATTCAAATATGAAGTGTTGCCCTTATGTTGGGTTTGAATTATCATTGCTTTACAGTGGCATGAACTGATTTTGGGTGTATCACTATTTATATATCAGACAAAAGACATCACTGAATAAATATATTTACACTGTTATTTATGTTAAGTCATAGAGCAGTTAGGGCAAATAAAGTTTTTTTCCCATTTAAATATGTGAGAAAATCCTAAAATATCCACATTCTTTCATGACCTGCTGGTTATGTTCTGTTTCTATGTGCAATCAGCCTATGAGAAGATGGAGATTCAAAACCTGAGGAAATCTAGACTTGGTTCAATTAGGGCTTTAGCACTGCAGGGAGGGCTTGGCAGTAGGCAAAATAATGTACAGACTAGTGGTGGTCCGATTAATTGAAATAATCGAAGATTGGTCGTAGTGACTAAACGACCAAGCAATCGATCACAATTTCTCATAATCGAACACAAACAATTCTGGAACACTTGTTTTCATTAACAATTTTTTTCACATTGTTGGTTTTGTCTGTTATATTTCGTAAGCACTACAAGCTCGTTTCAAGTCACGATTGAATCTATCTTAAAGATTCCAATAAATTTATGTTCCTAACATACTAGTCATCCTTTAAAGATGTGAAATTTTGCCAAAAGAACTACTCGTTTTTTTCCTTATTTTTATGTGCATTAACAAACTTCATAAATGACGCTAACCAATTTTTTTTGATGATTGATCGGTAGTAATGAACCGATCATCAATTATGAGATTTTAACCAATTCCCAACACTAGTACAGACTAGATATGAACCCCACATCAATAGATATTGTTAACAAAGAACACATCACAGCAAGTCATGGCACCTTGCCCTATGCTCTTAAAGGGAAGTTAAGGGAAGTCACGATGACTGTTACCATTGACAGTTGACCTTTGAAACCGTTATCAGTTTTGTATTTTATCTTTTGTTGCCCAATTTGATTGCAACCCTCATGAACACATGCCTGACTGGATACAGACATCCTCATCAGCTGTCAACTGTATCATGTCTACATCTCATGTGGATAATACATTGGATCCATCAGCCATTTTAACCTTGTATTTGTCAGGTTTCAAAAACTCATAGCTAACAGATGCCAGCAATAATCATATTACACCTGCTTTCTCATATTTTCAATGAGCAGCAAACTGCCAGTACTCAGCACATCTTGTTGGGAACTGTTGTACATTCACCAGTGCAGGGGTGGAAATAACTTTAACATTGCTAGTGTACTCCGGTACAGTGGCACATGTAAAATCACTTGCCCTGATAATTTTTCCACTATACCGGCCGATTTTCTTGTTGATATTTTAAATAAACAACATAATTAACATTGGAAAGTCAACTGGACACAGGTACAGCATGATATACAAGTTTGCTTGCCCGACAGAAAATAACACTGGACTCGGACGTCGGGCAATGGGTTATTTCCACCCCTGCAGTGCAGCATCCACGAAGTGTTCATAGATTGCACCTTTTGTAGTGAGTATGTTTAACTTTCAGCAATATTCCAGCAATGTCATGGAGGGGTACGCCAAAATGGGCTTCACACATTCATGTTGGGAATTAAACCTGAGTCTGTGGTGAGACGAGCAAACACATAACCACTAGGCTACTCCATCTTCCCACAGCATTTGTAAGTGTATGATAAACAATATCATGACAATAAGTCGTAATACTAACAACACTACTGACTGACTGAGTTTGGATTTACGCGCTTTTAGCAATATTCCAGCAACATCATGGCGGTCTAACAACACTAAGCAGGGGATGATCTGCGACAAGTTATGAATGTAACATGGAGGTGACAGAACTTCGTAAACCAATCCATGGTGCTGAATGGAGCCATGGATTCATCACAATGAAATGGAGATAAAATACCCTTGATTACTGAGGATGAGACAGGAAATGAAATGCAGTTATGTCTTCTAGAACATATTCAACTCATGCAGTGTAAACAACAGTGTTACATGTTACCATGGTTACTGTTACATGTTCACAACACCAGCTAGTGAACGACAATATACCTGAGCCAGACCATTATCACAACAAGCAATTTTGGTGCTAACAAACAACATTGAAACAACATGCCTGACTTGCATGATCACAGAAGAAAGACTGTCATTTAAAAGTGCACTTGATCTACCTGAAAAACTGATGAATGTTGGATTATTGATGGTTTTGTGTCTTTGTGGGCAGTCAGTTAATTTATCCTTTAAGATATGCAAGTAGTTTTCCACCATTTGTTTGTTGTTTATTGCTGCTCTCAGCAATATTCCAGCCATATGACAGCAGTTTGTACATAATCAAGTCTGGACCAGGCAATCCAGTGATTGACATCACGAGCATTGATCTATGCTATTAATGACAGTATAAAGTCAGTGTGCCTGACCACCCGATTGCATTAGTTGTCGTTCACGACAAGCAAGGGTGGATCAAGATCAATTATTATCTGGATCTGCAAGGCCAACAGTCTGTAAATAACTGACCAGACAATCAGGTGACTGACATAATGAGCATTGATCTATGCTATTAATGACAGTATAAAGTCAGTGTGCCTGACCACCCGATTGCATTAGTTGTCGTTCACGACAAGCAAGGGTGGATCAAGATCAATTATTATCTGGATCTGCAAGGCCAACAGTCTGTAAATAACTGACCAGACAATCAGGTGATTGACATAATGAGCACAGAGTATACTTAGAATATGATGCCAAGTCTTTAAAGTTTAAGTCTCAATCCACCTCTTACAATCAGCCTGGTGGGTGAGGATCTGTTTCAACACGAAATCCCTAATCATTTACTGGTTGTTTGTTGTTTAACTCCGCCATCAGCAATATTCCAGCTATATGGCGGAAGTCTGTAAATAATCGAGTCTGAAATGGAGAATCTAGTGACCAACATCATGAGCATCGATCTACCCAATTGGGATGCGATGATATGTGTCACCAAGTCAGCAGCCCTGACCACCCAATCCCATGAGTCCCCTTTTACAGGCATGGGTTGCTAGACCAGTACTAACACAGATCTTCACGGGTCACCCATTCTCTTAGATATGTCCCCTCTCTAACTCTCCATATAAAGTCGTCAGCTGGTCACCAACAAGTACCTGTCTCAGATCCGTCCTCCACACTTGTCGAGGACAACAATCTTGCTGGCTTCTTGGCCACTGGTGGCTTTTTGGGCAATGGTGGACGTGGCTTGTTTCCAGCAGGACTGGGCTTATTTTTAGGAAGGGGTGGTCTGTAAAACAAATAACCATAAAATATTAAAATACACAGATGAATCAACAGAAACAATTTCATGTCAACCCTGTTTGACGCCACCATTACTACCAGCATAGGCTGTGATATAAGAAAAACATTTGTGGTTATCAGTGATTCCACCATGACCTGAAACAATGACTGAAAGAGGTTTCAATCTTACTGATACCTCCAAATTTAGCCTTTTCAAACAAAAACAGTGGATTTAAATAAAAAGAAGGCAACTCCATGCTGAACTTCACGCCACACGGACATGCTCTAAGCGCATACAACATAATGGACATTATGACCCCAGATAACCCAAGCTGCCCTTGAGACGCTAGATAGTCATGTGACTTATCCCAAAGGGTACCCATTTTCTGCTTGGTGAAGAGAGGCACTTGCCTAAGGTAAGACCACATGTGTCCAGTGTGCTTTGTTGAAGGCAAGAGAATGTCCCAGAACTCTCAGGAGTCAAGCTGCCAAGCACGGTTGACAAATTGATATATGACATACTAATCTATAAAAACATGGCTGGCAAAAGTGTTCAGTTGCATATGTTTGCTATCGTTTATGTTTTTGAGTCAAGCTGCCATACACGGTTGACAAATTGATATATGACATACTAAGCTATAAAAACATGGCTGCCAAAACTGATCAGTTGCATGTGTTTGCTATCGGTATGTTTTTTAAAGTTACTATCTTTAAAAAGTTGTTTCCGGTAAAGTCTACTTTTGTTCTGTTCAATCTCAGCCCCATGTTCTGTCACATGTTGCATAAGCTCACAACAGTGATTGATACAGTGATATTTACAGTAAGTGATAGGAAGCAATTCTGCTTTATTCACTGCAGTGGAGTTCACGTATTGGTGATGCCTACATTCACTCAGTAAATAAACATGAGCTATAAAATCTTTGAATGGAATGTAGCAGTGAAACATATAAAGGGGGAATATTTATGGGCATCAACATTTGTATCATGAGTATTTGGGTAGATTCTTACTTCTTCATCAGGTGAATGAAAGTTATGATGATGATTTGGAGATATTAAGTGCAATTTCCAACAAAATGTGTATGGGCTTCACACGTTGTCCCCATGTGGGGAATCAAACTTGGATCTTCGGTGTGACGAGCAAACACTTTTATCCACTAGGCTACCCCACCGCCCCAGTAGCTAGGAGATTACATATGTATATGTGAAAACAACCTCAATGATAACAAAGGTGGACACTTAACAAGGGGAGATAATACATGTTGGTGCTGTGGGTAATTGCAATGGGCAAATGGAAGCCACGAGTGAATCCAGGTATAGTGTTTATTTGTTGTTCAATGCTCCATTCAGCTACATTCCAGCTATATAACAGCTGTTTCTAAAATAACTCAATCTGGACCAGACAATCCAGTGACTGACATCATGAGCATCGGTCTACACCATTGGGATAAAGACATGCATCAACCAAATCAGCGAGCTTGACCACCCGATCACATTAGTCGCTTCTTACGACAAGCGTGGTTGCTGAGTTCAACGGAATCTTCAAGGGTCCAAACCAGACATCAATGAGTCTTGATAAGTAATAAGCATATCAATAATAGACAAAAGGGGGCACAAGGTGGTAATTAGCACTAATAAATGATAGTGATAGACATGGAAACCAGTAAATCACGCCGAAGACCCGGGTTTGAATTCCCCACATGGGTACAATGTGTGAAGCCCATTTCTGGTGTCCCCCGCCACGATATTGCTGGAATATTGCTAAAAGCAGCGTAAAATCATACTCACTCACTCATCTCTGTAAAAAATACAAATACAAATACTCCCATAATGCTTATCCAAGCCTTAAGTTTCTATTTGTGGCCCATGATAAGAAAAGTGGTTAGTTATCACATAACATGTAAGCAGTCTGAAGTTTAACATTCAACTTCCTTCCAACAACTATAGTCGTAGGGAATTGATATGTAATCTGAATATCAAACTTAAAAAAACTTTGTTAAAAGACTGTGATCTAAACAGTTGACTAAAGTAATACACGTCCGTAAAAAGATGTCACGAAACACGTTTAAGGCGGTTTTATTGTTAAATGCTTAACAAAGGTATCCGTCAAAGCCTTTGTATGTAACAGGGCTGGTAGTAAAATGTCCTGCTCACAAACTCAGCAAGTTATACACAGACGTTATACTTTCTGGCCACAGTCTACAACAAGGAAGTAAGCTGAACACAATCATGTAGGAAAGATAAGGGGAATTACATATCAGTGTAGTCGACAACTGTGATCCCAATACACCTAATAATAGTAATATGTGAACAGTCTTTGCCATAACAGATTGATCCGTCTTGACAAGGACAAGAAACGCAGAAAGAAGAATATCAAGTGTCACTTCATGTTAAAAAGATATCCTTGCTCTTTTCTGAACTGCCCATGACAACTGTCGGCTTGAGACATGTTGAGATCGGGTGATATTGGCAGTAACACCTGCATATGGTGTGTAGTGCTAATACTGCTATGTAGCAATGTGACGACTGTATTGAAGTAACGCAGACTTCCATATAGACTGGGAATGTGTGTGAAATGCAAATAATGAATCATTATTACCCAGTTAATTAGAGTTGTGTTTGCACATTTACTCTACGCAGCAACATTTTCCTGAACCAAATATTACCACATTAGTGAGGTGAGGTGAGGTGAGGTGAAATTGGGTTTTACGTCGTGCTTGAGAATATTTCGCTCATATGACGACGCATGCATGTATGTGTATGTGTGGCTGCTTGTACTAGCCCAGACTTAAGCTGGTTTTATAGTGCTAGCCCACTGAGATACCATGCTGCAGTGAAGCATGAATATCCCACTTAGACACATTATACTGACTCCGAGTCGACCAGTCCTTGTTGTACCCATGAATGCCGAGCGCCAGGCAGGGACCAACAAGTACCATATTTTAACGTCTTTTGGTATGACGCGGTTGGGGATCGAACCCGCGACCTTCCGCTCTCCGGGCAGACGCTCTAACCACTACACCACGGAGGCGGTCACCACATTAGTGAGCACAATTATTCAGATTGAGTAACATCATACTTATTTTTCCTTAAAGATCTCTATTTACTGATCAAATTCTGCCATCACTTACACAGATACACACTGCAGTAAAGAATCAACACCAGAGCTATGTTTTGCGTTTTGGCACACATCACCCATAGCAAGATAAGGGTAGAATGATTTCATTTGATAACTTTCCATATTTCCACATTTGCATTTCAGTGATTTTCAATACTGATTGATCACTGAAGGTGTTATATGACGTGGAAAATATGATATAAAATAAGATATGATGTGATTACTATGAATACACACTGTCATTTAGAAAGCGGTCAAAACATATGATGTATCTGGGATAACACTTTTTAACTAGCGTCTGGGATTCGAAACCCACACCCTCAGTCAGGCAACTTATCGCAAGCTCTAACCCACTCAGCCGCCACAGATTCCTCAAAGATGTAGTGAGACAATGAGTCTAGATCATGTACTTTGTGTACCTCTCTAACAACAGTGATTACTGATTACATGAAACAATAGGCTGCCTTCTGTAAAGATAAATCTGTAGTATTGACATCAGATTTTTCCTGTGTTGAGCCCTATTACAAACTGCTCACATACCAAGTTTCAAAACATTTTCAACAAGGATTAATAAGCAATGGCAGTAAAAAGTTTCAGATTTCATCATGTGAAAGTACAAAGGTCTAATTAAGGCCAAAATATCATTTTTGGAAAAACCCAACCCAAACGATATGTTGAGCCCTTTACTTACTACCAAATTTCATTAAAATTTGATAAAAAAAAGTATAAGCCATAAATCATGGGAATGAAATTTTCAACATGGATGCCATGGCGGCCATATATAAACCCAGATTCAAATCTCTAGATCAAATATAGGTGTCTTCATTGACGTATGACAGACAACTTGTCAGTGACAAAGGCTCACTTTGATTTGCAGTCAAGTAAGTCAAAATGGTGAAAGCCACAAACAATAATCCACTCTACTTCCCTTCAGTATAAAATTCACCAAACAGGAAAAGATAACTTGTTTTCCCAAACTTCCCAAATGTGAAGTGGTGCATCCTTTTTAACCTTTCTCCTTCTGTTTCCTGCACACCCCACCCCACCCTCAAAAAACAAGAAACCAAAAAAATGGAACAAGATACAAGATATGTAATTAAATTAATATTACCAGTGTATACCAACAGAGTATGGAGATCATATTTGTTCAAGTGTTGGGAATTGATTACAATCTCATAATTGATGATTGGTTCATTACAACCGATCAATCATCGAAAATAATTGGTTAGCGTCATTTTTAAAAAATTTAATGCACAAAAACAAAGAAAAAAACATGTAGTTCTTTGTGTATTTTTTTGTTGCAAACTGCACATCTTTTAAGGATGACAAATATGTTAGGAACATACAATTCTTGGGGTCTTTAAGATAAATTCAAACATGACTTGGAACGAGCTTGTAGTACTCATGAATGTAACAGACAAAATCAACCTTGTGAAAAATATTACTAATGCTAAAAGTATTCCAGAATTGTTTGTGTTTGACAGAGGTACAGATAAGCTGCGTATCTGCGTAAATTACACAAATATTTATTAGAAAACTCAATTTCTATTCAGTCTGTTGCGTACAAGTACGCTTGAATTTTTGTAAATACTCTATAAATGTGATCTTACATGCGTACACACAAAAATGTCAAGTCTAAGCTTGCGTACCGGTGGATAGATAAAATAACTGAAGTATACTGAGAGGTTCTATTTCAGGACATGAACTTGACAACTTGCAGTCTTTCTTATCGTTTCTCATATTACAGATCGAATATAAATAACAAACATTAACTTTTAAACTTCACTATACATGTATTTTCAAATTTAATGGAAAATGGCAAAATACCCAATTGAGTTTGAGTGAGGTGAGTACAATTTATCTGGTTACTCAAAGAAAAAATGGGATACCCAATTGAGATGAACAAAAGTGAGTACATAACTCAATGACCCAAAAAGTTATCTGTAGCTCTGGTTCGATTATGAGAAAACATGATCGATTGCTTGGTCGTTTAGTCACTGTGACCAATCTTCAATTATTTCAATTAATCGGACCACTACTAATTTGTTCGATACTGATTTTGTTGGGACACATTTGTTTATTCCTGTTTCTACCATGTAACTTAGAATTAGACTTCAGCAGCCCATGCTGGTCGTAAAAGGCAACTAACAGGATCGGATGGTCAGGCTCGCGGAGGCCAAATAAAATAAAGTTGTTGTTCTGATTACAGCTCTTTAAAATTTAGGGTAGGTAGGTACGAATATTTTAATTTTTTACATTAACAGTAAAGTACAAACTAATTACAGATTTATCAATGTGTAATTGTTCATTTAATCAAGCTTGTAGCCATCATGTCAACTTTCTCTATCAAGGTGACCGATGTCCGAATGGAAAACAATGGTATCTGAATGCTTATTTTATTTATACCGCTTAAAAAAAAAGGGTCGGCACCAGAAGTCAAGGGTCGGTTGGGTAATCGGCACCACAACATATTTTTTGTCAGGTCTGACTTAGCTGACACATGTTATCCTATCCCAGTGGTGAAGGTAGATCAGGTTCAATCTTTGTTACTGAGAAAGTGGATATCTATGCTTTGTCTGCTCACAGATAAGTTGAATAAAAATATGTGCCCTTTCAGCTTTGTTACATACTGCAAGACATATCACAAGACATATCAGCAAATCAAACTGGTGTTTCTTTTCTAACAGCTAATACAATACCAAGTACACTCCATACTTTGACAGCAGTTGGTGATCAACATTAACAGGGGTCATGGTGGTTTTCTACAGTAGGACTGCTTGAATCAAGGGCTGCGTAAATGAAACGTTTTGTTGTTGGGGTTTTATGAAAGACATCTGACTTCCACTCTTAACAGACAAATACGATATATATAGGTCCGTCTCCTATTCTGCGGGTTTCCTCTTCTCGCGGTAAACACGTTTTTTTTTGCCGAAATCGCCGATGCGCGACACTTAGCGGTTGTTTACATCACCGACTGGTAACAAGGAAGTGGCCAAAGTCTGTGAGTGATCAAAATCTTGCAGTGTCACGAATATTGGGGAGTTTATACCAACTTGGACATATCATTACTCTTTCCCGCCCTTTCCCGCAGGATTGCTCTTACATACACTCAATAACGTTAATTCCTGGTAATACCGCGAGAATGGGAGAAGCCTCGTTTCGTCAATGGCGGATGGCATTGTTTATCACCGGGCTCACGAGTGGTAATTCACCTGATGGATCTGGCAGCTGATTGATGTAGATGTTAGAGGAGAAGGCCCTTCATTTAAAAACAACAAGCATGAATACGATAAGAATTGTTTGTGTTATTTTTTCAGCTGATATCCGTAAGTATCGCGAGAATAGGAAACGCCTTCCTATGTGATATGGGTGCACTATGTGGTAGTAAGTGAAAGACTTGCCCATAATTAAATGCAATCACAGTGAAGCCAATTTAGTGTGATCCAAGCAAGTGTGCTCATCCTGTCAAATCCCTCTGGCATGACGGTTAGTGCCATAAGTAAACATTAACATGGCGCCAAATTGCTAGTGAATTGGTCGCATTTATGAGTAAAATTTGAGAAATGCAACAAAATAATATGAAACACTTAGCCTTTGATGAGCAAGGTAAAACTTCATCTAAATTAAGGCGGTTATTCCTGTTTTCATCATAAATAATTCCGATTTTGATTTAATTAAGAATTTATTGATAATGATTGCCAAGTTTAGCGACGAGTGACTTACCGATCGGCTCGAGTCAAAGGGACTAGGGAGTGAGTGAGTGAGTGAGTTGGGCTCAATGCTACAGTGTTCCAATTATATTTCGGTGTGTTATCATAATGTGGGAATGATGAAGACATTTACCAGATCGGTACAACCCGTGACTACAGGTATGGTACTGACAGACCAAGAAACATCACGGATGAGCCATAATCTGAACCAGATCTCAGCTTCCTGGCCATAATCTGAACCAGATCTCAGCTTCCTGGCGTGCATAAGGGAATCAACCTTTCCCACCTACACTAGTTAACACCCCTTAAACTGGTCATGGTTTTTTTCTTACCAAACTGATTTAACTATATAGTGACCATTTTAAGATATGCAAATGTAGTGACCATTTTAAGATCATGCAAATATAGTTTGTTCCTTACTTCCCTATTTCTATGTCTGCACCAAACTCAGCCTGATCTGTAAACAAACCAACTAAAGCTAACAAATCTTACTAAAACTCTAAAACTGTAACCAACTAAAGCTACTACTTCCCATATTCTCCCATATTCTGCCATACATGGGTCTATTTTTGTCTACCAGAAAAGCCTGATCTGAACAAAATAACAAGCCCTGAAACTCTAAAACTGTACTACTTCCCAACCTTGTCTATTTCATCCCTTTGCTCAGCCTCTAAACAAACCAACTGCTAAATCTTCTAAAACTCTAAAACTAACTAATACTTCCCTATTCTGCCATATGGATCATGCACCAAATAAGCCTGATCTGTAAAACAAAACCAACTAAAGCTAAAAATCTGAAAATCTAAAACTGTTCGACTTTGCATATTTGATTCACCAAAGAAAACTTGATCAAAATAACAAGCCCTGAAACATGTGAAACCTTGTCTTTCATCCCTTGCTGTGCTCTCACCAGTAAACCTTGGTGAGTTGTTTGGATCATGATAAGGTGAAATTCTGAAAATCACTTCTTGATTTGCATTGATTCAGCAAAGCAATCAATGAATTGAAATCCCTCCACACAGTACCCATTTGTAGGAAGGTGCTGCTGTCTAACATCTGAAACCATCTACCATACCAAGTCTGTTGCAGAAGTTGTAAATATAGGTGAACACAGACAATAATCAGATCCACAAAAACAAATATTCAAGCATCAAACTTATAACTGTGTTAAGGGTAGCGCCATTACTGTTTAACATATATCATTATAACTACATGTTGAAGAATCATTTAGAATGCCAAGTAAAACATGCCGTCAGCCTTCTGTTCAAATATTTCCAGCACAAAATAACAAAGAATTAACTATTGTCTTAAATATTTATAAATCTGCAAGAGCGAATGAACTATTGTAAAGATACTTTCTGAATAGACATTGTTTTCAAATGCTATACAAAATTTCAAACTGTTTAACACAAAAAAAATCCTAATGATTGAACAAGTCTCAGGTCATCATAACGTGAGAAGCAGACGCTAAATTGAGAAGACATTTGCAGAACCAAATATGGCGTCTGGGCGAAGTAAAAGGCATCAGCAGAATATTTTGTCCACACAGTAGTGACATATTGCTTTCCAAAAGCATCTATGGTTACCAATTTGAATCAGAGTTGAAACCTCTTGATAAAATTCTGATGTCATTATTGGTAGACACAATCTTTGTGAAACTTTGTCGTCACTAACACCCAATATACACAATCGATATCCAAAAAGATCACACGCTAAGCTTCCGAATGCTATTTACTGGTATCTACTCAAATAAATCACCGATGACTTACAAAATGGTATACTGTAAAAAAATAATTCAAAATTCTTTCTGGAAAACCCAAAGTTTTTTAAAGACATATAGGACAGCGGATTTCATATTTAAAACTCGGAGTAACTCTGCCAGAATCGGAGTGGTTGGCATCTCTGTTTCAGTCTACAATGTGGCAAAAGCAAAATTGAAAACAAATCGCAAAAATTGGAACTAATATGTTTGGTTTGACTACTAACCACGATATACCATAATTACATTTTGCTCTGAAGACAAAGGAACAAGACTCTGCAGCTCAACTGACCTATGAAGAAATAATTTTTTACTTTAACCATGTTAACCTCCATATTGAGTTAAAGGCCAGGTTGCAAACTTCCAAAACACCCATGGGTTTCCAATTAGTCTCCCATTGGCTACAAGTCAGCAGTGTAGATGTGATCTGCCCATGAGTGACAGGACTGCAATGGCTATGGGTGCCCGGCAAGAGTCTGGAGATGTCAAAGGTTTACCTTGGAATTTACTACTAGACTAAACATCTGCCTTAAATTAAATGTCCAACAACCCTCTCACTACATATTTTGATGACTAAAGACATTAACTACATATTTTGATGACTAAAGACATTAATTTGATCAGCCAATATATGAAATTTCAAATTTTACTTATTTTTGAAAATAAAATTTTCAACATGCACAGCATGGGGTCAGTGAGGGGGCATTTTCACAGCCTCTGTGAAATGCGAAACCCTAAATGAAATTTTTACCCACGCAAAGACTTGTTTCTATGGAAATTCACCTCCTCTGGCCACCTGACTGATACAGTGGGAAATTCAACATTGATTTAAAAAAGAGAGAAATATATTTTGTATTTTCAAAATGTATGTTTTGTAGGCTGTCTGCATCCATACATTTTACCCTGAGCCTTCAAAACATACTTCTTTACACTATGGCTTAATTTCATCATGAACCAATTAGTTAATTGTGTGATATAACATGGAATGTACTTGAATACTGCATTGCTTTGCATCGAAAGACAGCTTTGACAAGGCAAGGAGGCCACACCCAATCTGTGTACAGGTTTGAACCCTGGCCTTTAAAGAAACATTGATTCAAATGAATTTGGCAAGGATTTACATAGATCTGCTATGAGACTGATATTTCGCCCCAGCTCTTCAGCAAATAGTAGACACATAACTGATTTGTACTGAAATTTCTTGATTTCTCAGAATTTATAAGAATAAATACAAATCTTTCAATATTCAATACCCTATTTTCACATTTGCCAGACAAAGACACTTAGTTTCAAGTCCTTGAAAATAAATTAAACCAAGTCAGCGAGCCTGACCACCCGATCCCGTTAGTCGCCACTTACGACAAGCATGGGTTACTGAAGGTTCATTCTAACCTGGACCTTCACGGGACTTGATCTATTTAGAACTATTGCAAGTCTGTACACTTGGGTAGACTCTTCTATTATCTCATGGTTGGAAAGTCTTGTCAAACAGAATAACAAGAGTGTTGACAATTATCCTGTCCAGCAAGGATATGTTCAATTTCTCGCAAAAAACAGTTCTTTTTAAAATAAACCATGAATAATTGGTTCTAGTAATTGTTGATAATTAATTGAATGCATGAAGGGACACAGCTGGAATTACTGTGAATTCACTAGTGAATAATAACAGCACTATCAAACATCTGACTCCAACTGAGAAAGAAACAAGTTTGACCGCATGTCTCCACATACTCCACAGATCAAAGTGACCCCATTACTGCTACCATGTTTGTTTAATTTGTTGTTTAACGCTGCATTCAGCAATATTCAAACAATATGGCAATGGTGTGTAAATAATCGAGTCTGGTCCAGACAATCCAGTGGTCAACAGCATGAGCATCGATCTACGTAACTGGGATATGATGACAATTGACATGACTCAACAAAGTCAGCGAGCCTGACCCACCGATCTCGATAACCTCTTACAATAAGCATGGGTTACTGAAGACCAATTCTAACCCAGATCTTCACCGGTAGACTGGCACCATGTCAGCATGAAGTGCTGTACTTGTAACAAAAGGATTCAAACAGAAATAGTTTTCAAATTTAATGTATTTTCTCAGTGAAAGTTATCCATTTCACAACATGTTAACTGAAGTGACTTTAAATCAATATAATTCATCAAATGGACTGTGTATGATGTGACGAATCCTCCAGACTTGCCGGCCAGCCGAGGAACTTGTATGACTTCTGTATGACCCTCCTACCTAGGAAGCCCTGAGCATGTTGAGTGTTATCTGCATATTGACCTAATTAATGTCCTGGCTAGCTATTCTCGAAACGTTCATAGCCCTACGAACTTCTTAAGCCCATTCTTAACACATTGGCTACGGTCAAAGTTAAGAATTCTTAGGGCTACGAACGTTTCGAGAATAAGGGCCCTGGCCTTATCTAGACTCACATGTAGTCTCTGACATGAACATATTTGAAAGAAAAAACAGTTCCTCAATCATAACCATTGACTATAATGAGATGGAGCCCAGAGACTTTCTTCATTTCCTGAATCTGTGGTAATCTAGACTTGCCACATATTCTTGACTTGCATGGGCTCTCTTGGATATGAGTGTTTCAGGGTCTGTATCTGTATCTAGTCCTTATCATACTTAGCACTTTCCATTTTGTTGTTAGTTAATATTATCCTTAGTTCCATTCATGCATAGCAGAACTTCAGCTATTAGACTGACTGAGTTTTGGTTTTACGCCGCTTTTAGCAATAATCCAGCAATATCAGGTGGGTGAGTGCTTAAACTACTAGGCTACCCACCATCCCATTGGAAGGAAAAGATCTGAGATCTGGTAAAGCATACCCTTGTCTGCATCCTCTTTTGTCAATAACAAAAAAAACCAACTTGTCCACTTTGAAATACTTCTTGATGTAATTCCAATGTTATTCAACAATATAATATATTCGGCCAAAACAGTATGTTTGTAAAACTATATCCAAACTGTGTCAAATCACTTTTCCAAATTTTTCAACAAGTTTAGACCCACTTTAATTTCTGGGAAATAACACTGTAGAATTGATTAGCATTTTCACTGATTTATCTAGTTGGAGTGAATCCAATATGATTTTTTTCTAAGCAAGAGTTCATGTAAAGTTGAGGGCCAGTGGGGTAGCCTAGTGGTTAAAGCATTCGCTTGTCATTCTGAAGACCCGGGTTCGATCCCCACATGGGTACAGTGCGTGAAGCCCATTTGCAGTGTTCCCTGTCGTGATATTGTTGGAATATTGCTAAAAAGCTGCGTAAAACTAAACTCACTCACTCTACAGGTGACTGGGGTGGTAGTGGTTAAAGTGTTCACTCATCACAATGCAACCCATGTTCCATTAGCCCCATAAGTACAATGTGTGAAGCCCCATTTCTTATGTCCCCAACCATGATACTTCTGAATGATTGCGACCCGTGAAGGTCCGGATTAGAATGAACCTTCAGTAACCCATGCTTGTCATAAGAGGCGACCAACGGAATCGGGTGGTCAGGCTCGCTGGCTTGGTTGACACATGTCATCGGTTCCCAATTGCGCAGATCGATGCTTATGCTGTTGATCACTAGATTGTCTGGTCCAGATTCGATTATTTACAAATCACCGCCATATAGCTGGAATATTGCTGAGTGCGGCGTAAAAAGAAACTCACTCACTCACTGGATTATTGCACAAACCAATGTAAAACTCACTGCTTAGTGAACTTGTTATGATATGGGTGTGCTAGTAGTGTTGAATAAGCATTTCATGTCATACCTGAAGGATAAGCTTGATGTAGATGTGTATGTAAAAACAGATATGCTTGACGACGATGACAAGCTCTCGTTTCCGATGACATGGTCACCGTGATATTGCTGGAACATTGTTGAAAACGACGTAAAACTAACCTCACTCACTCAGTGAATCTTCAGAATTCAATACAAGCTGATTACAGTATTACTTAACCATAACCGTGCACCATACTCATTATCACCATCATCTCAGGTATCAAAGGTGGTGATGCTGATATACTTAATTGTACTTACTTCTGTGTATGTAAGATAAACAGATATCTTAAACTGAAAACAATCTGTGTACATGTATATACATGTATACCATTGTCTTATTTGTCAGCTCAAAGGCCATACAGGTAAATATAATAATTACATGGGATGATGTATTGTCAGA